TCCCGGAGCCTCGGCACAGAGGACCCACAGGAGGGAGGGGAGGTTTCAACGGGGGATGCTAGTCAGCTGGAACACCAGAGGGTGTCTCCTGGCCCGGCTTGGGTGAGGACGTGCTGATAAAGAAGTCCCTAGAGAAGGCCGCTGGGGGACACGGCTGCTGGACCCTCATGCTCAACCACGTCTTCAGGACCAGGGAAAGCGGAGGAAAGTGGCTGAAACCAGCTTGTTTGAGGGGCCTGGGGACTTCCCTCTTGAGTCTGAGACACAGGTCCTTGGGGTTGTGGCTTCTCAGGGGGCACTCCCAGTGGTTAAATTGTGTCCCCTTGTGCCAGGCACGGTGTGGTGATGTTGATTTCACCCCTGGAGTCCCGCAAGGTGGTGCTTCTAATCCCCCTTCACCCCGGGTAGCTGAGGTTCTGGTCCATTGAGGTGGGACTGCTCTTAGTGGTTGGGACCGGAATGGAGAAACCGAAGGTGACTTCTCTACCTTTAGGAAGAGAAGAGTCCTCGCATATATCCGGCAAATGGGCCTTCTTCCGGAATCCTCCTTCCCTGGGTAGGGGATGCTGAGAGCCTGCTCCAGGTATGTCCCTGTGATAGGTTATTGGCTTTTTCCCAACGTCCCCGTCCCCCACCCCAGGTACATGCAGCTGCTGTCATCCCCACTGTCTAGGAAACGAAGGCTCTGGAAGGTGCAGCAACTTGTCCATGAGGCCCCCCGCCCCCCTCCCTCTCCCCGGCCGCAGTGATTCACTGGTGCTCTGAACTCAAGTCCAGATGCTTCTCCCTGTAGGCACCTGCCCCCTGGAGACACGTCCACACTCTGCAACTTAACGCTGCCAAGCTGGGGTGATCACAGAGCTCTCCAGAGGGTCTCCTAGTTCTGTGCGGGGAGGAAAGAAGGACCGTCGGGGCGGGGGGAGGGGGCGGGGGGAAGGCAGTCTTGCAATCTAGCTCACAACTTCTCTGTACCCACTGATGAAACAAGCCCCTCAGCCAAGACTCTCCCAGCGTTGCCCTAGATGCAGATGCCCAGGGAAAACCCTGCAGATCCAGTTTCAAAGCAAACAACCACAAGGGTAGAGAGAGCTCCTTTTGCAAGGCCCATTGTTCTTTAGATCCCAGCAGACGAGACTGATGGAGGCTGCCAGCCCGAGTGAGGCCGTCACTGGGGCTCAGCTGTGCACACACGCAGCTGCCCCCTTGTTCTTGGCAAAGGGCTGGTAACGGTGTCTCAAGCCAATGAGCTGTGACCTCCCTTCTTGAAGAAATAAGAATGGATGGCTACTAGCAGGCGGATCCCACCGCAGGAAGGCTGGTGTGATGAACCGCATGAACCAAGTGGGAGGATGCAAGACTAGGTAAGGATCCTGAAGCCTCCAGTGACCAACTCTGGGGAGACTGAGGGACCCACGGCCAGGGCACTGAGACTTGCTGTGACTGCTCAGGCCCCAATTCAACAGGCCCACGCTGAAGGCCAGTCCTCCTTTGAACCTGCCCTTACACGGCAGCCAAGTGCCGTCAGAGGCAGAGGGACCCCAGCTCAGCCCTTGCAGTTGGTGACTCCAGCTGGCATCCCTGGGCGTAACCATGCTCCCCAGGCTGAGCTTGGCCAGGTGTGTTCCCAGAGGAAGCACTGACCCCTGGGTCCTCACAACTGAGATGTGAGGTCTTGAGCAGGATCAGCCACACCTGGGCTACCTGGATGTTGTGGAGAGCCCAGGACTTTCCAGGCACATTGCTCTTGCTCTGACCCCCAGTTAGGCAAGTTTGGGCAGGTACCCCCACCTCAGAATCTGCATGTACGCAGCCCAGTGATGAATCCACTTGGAAGCTCCGTGGCGGCGAGGGGGAGGTTTCTAAGACATTTGGAGCTAGACGTGCATCACAACGGCCTACAATGGTCTCACCACAGCTAGAGGGGTCTGTAGGTATGCAGCCCAGTGCAGGTCCTGTTACAGAGGGAGACGCTGCACAGCAGGTGATGATTTCCCCATTGTCCCGGGGTGGCCCCTTGGAACAGCTCCCTGACTGTTCCCAGACTCACTGGGAAAAGCGCATCAGCCTTAATTAATGAGGAGGCGGCTGTTAAAATAGCCCAATTATGCCATCATCTGGTAGCCAGGGCTGGCATGGGGCTCGCATGTGAGTAAATGGGGTGTGACTGTCCCACCACAACCTGTGGGAACAAGGAGCAACGCTGGGGAGGGGGGATGGGAGGGCAGGCCCCAGGCCTGGGGTCCACCAGCCTGAATCCGCCCTAGGACCAGAGGCAGACCTCCTAGCTCCTGGGTGTGGGGCTTATGGGGGCCCACGAGCAGACTTTGTTGTACAGTGTCAGCACAATGGCCTGAGGGGCTTGGGAGCCAGGCCCCTGGGCTCTTGACTCAGTCCAGAGCTGGGTCTGCCCTTGCTCAGCTCTCATTCAGGCAGACCCACCCTGCCACCCTGCTGCAAATCACTACCTATCCCCCACACTCCTGATCCTTGACAGTGGTCTCCTTTTTTTTCCTTAGGAAGTACTGTCTCTTAAAATATTAAAACATTCACTTTATCATATTTATGATTGGCTGTTGATCTGTTCCTATTAGAACAGGCGGCATGTGGTTAGCGCATTCAGCTGCTGATAGGTTGGTGGGTTTGTGTCCACCCAGAGGTGCCTCTGGAGCACAGCAGGTGGATCTATTTCCAAAAGGCCGCTGTGGGAGATCCTGTGGAGCATGGCCCCCCGCTGCCTGCCATACACGGGTCACCATGAACCAGAGCGAACTCAATGGCAACTGGGTCTCTTATTTTGTAGGTCATATGTAAGTCGCACCAGGGCAGGGATTTCATTTTTGTTCATTGGTGCATATCCCCAGAGCCTAGAAGATTCAATACAATTTGTTGGGTGAATGGATGAATGAATGAATGAATGAATGAATGAGGGTCCCCTCCTTTTAGTGACTGACAGTGATTGGAAGCTGCTTGGAACACCCAGTGGGAGCCATGGCCTCAAGGGGGTGTGCTGGATGAGGGTACAGGCAACTCCGTGCACGGACCCCAGCAGATTCCACATGCTCGGGGCAGGCTGCCTGCCCCCTCCACCCAGGCCTAGGATTTATAGACTAAGACCGCCTGGAAACCAGCCTGGGGACCTTGGAAATGTGGCGGCTGTTCTCATCCCAGCTCAACCCTCAACTCTTGAAAGAAGCAAGCAACCCAGCCAGCCCTTCCTGAGGCTGGGCCTCGGTTAAAAGCAGGGCCTGGGCAGCTAGAGGAGGCCTGGCCCAGAGAGAAGCCAGGGATGGGCGTGACTGCCCAGCCCCAGGGACCCTCATCTCTTTCATCAAATGACTTCTCACAATGACTGTCTTCCACAAAAGGAAACACTCCTACACTAGACAGCCTACCTAGAACCCTGGTGCAGCTGAAAACAAAAATGGATGTCCACCCCAGGCGCTCACAGTAACATGAGCCAGGGGCCACTGTGCCCATCCTATGGTTGGGAAAATGAAGGCCCAGGAAATGCAGGAGAAGGTAGGCCTAACAAACTGGCCAAGCTGGGAAAAGATGCTGCGTGTCTTGACCAGGGCTGTTTTCAGTGGAGGTGAAGCTTTGAAATGTTTGTGTTTCTGCCTTGTGGTTACCTCCTGCTATCCTTCCAAGGATGCTCGGCCACCCATTTGGGGACCTTGGGAGGGGTGGGGCTGATAAGGGCACAGGCAACTCCGTGCACAGACCCCAGCAGACTCCCCGCTCCTTTCCTGGGAATTCTACTTGTCTGCTTCTCTGACAAGTAGGGCCAATAGGCACGGGAGCCCAAGGCAGACCGTGAGAGGCAGCACCTTGCTTTCCACAGTGCAGAGCTGGTCCATGCAGCAGAAGCGGCTTCTCTGCCGCAGCCCCGAGACAAACCCCGCAGAAAGCAGGTATGCAGTGAGCCTGAGGGGTGCTCATAGATGTGTGGTCTGGGGAGGGAGAAGGGACCCCAAGCCCATGGGCAATAGCGAAAGGAATGGGCTCCGTATCCATGCTGATCTCATTCATCCCAGAGACTGATCTTCCCCAGAGCTTGTCCTCAGCCTGGTACTGTTCTAGGCATATTGGGCAACAGGGAGGCACGTGGCAGAAATGATAAGTGCCCCGGAACTGGGTGGGGCCACTGGGTGCGTGAGCAATGCATGAAGCACAATTAGCAGCCCGTCCCTCTCCGTTTCCAAGGCAGCCTGTCCCTGCTCGCTGAGCCATCCTTCCAGAGCACGGGCTGGGTCCTTTGGCGACTACATATGACACAGGGGACACGGGGCCATTCCTGAGCCCATCACAAGGGCGCTCACTCTGCACACCCTCATCCATCCTTTTATTCCACACTTCAGTCACACCAGGCATTTGCCTTCCCTTTCATGCACATCGTGCCTGCCCGCTTTTGCTTAGGCCTGGCCGCTCTGCCCACACTGCACCCCTCCTCCCAGTTTCCTCTAAGCAGAATCCGCCAGCAGCACCTGGACACCCAGCTCCCCCAGTGACGCCACTGGGAGTCCTCCCCAGGCTGCTCCTCTTTCTGTTCCTACAGTCTTCCCCTTCACACCTCGAGCAGGTAAGCACGTGTGCTACTGTACTGGGTGTGCCACACAACACTGCCACACTGTGAGCTCAGAGCCCACCACATGCCCGCCGTCTGGATGGAAGGAGTGCTGCCTCCCACCTAGACTCAGCACAGGCGCTGCCCACTCACCCCTCGGATTCCTGAGCTCCCGGCAAGTGGCATAAAGTGGGAGCCCAGTGAATGCCCGCCGAATGAACGAGCCCCGCTTGGCAAGCACGTGGGTCGCTCCCTGCTCTGCTCTGCTAAGTTTGATCTAAGAGAACAACAAAACTGCATCCCGGACGGCTGAAAAGGGTCTTTCAAACTTTGATCCTGCCAAGGCAGGCTCCAGAGGTTTGCCCGTGCAGGTCGAGCAGGCCCCGAGACCACCTGGGACACGCAGAGGGCCGCATGCAAATGACGGACCCGCTACCTTTCTGGCAGGAGAAGCAGAGACAAGAGTTGACGGCGAGGAAGTAGCGGCCGGAGCAGCAGATGGAAGGCAAGAGGGAGAAGATGGAGGATGCGGATGAGCTAGGCCTTGTGAGGGTAGTTTATTCTGCACAGAACAGAAAGAAAGTTACTATCCCGGGGAGTGCCCAGCAATACATGCCTGGATGCTGCAGCCAGGAGCTACTCAGGGGGCGGGGGTGGGGTGGGGTCGCTGGGCCCAGGGCCTCTGATTTTGCAGGACTTTGTGGCTCCCCACTCCCTGCATTCACTGACGACTCCTCCCCTCTGCCACACCAAGGGAGCTGAGCAGATCTGTTCTGTGTCTGTCGACAGCCGCCCCAGACAGCAGCATTAGGGACGGACACCGTGGCTCCGGAGCCGGCTCTGCAGTTATGCTGCAAAGCTGCAGAAAGGGGGAGCCAGCTGCTCTGGGGCTGATGGCTGCATCAGGAGGCCCTGCCGTCACGGGGAATCCAAACGGGCTCAGCTTAGAGCATCCTCCCGTGTCAGTGCGGACTCAGGTCTGGGGGGAGCTGCATGGAGGCAGCAGAGCAGGGGAGGTCTCTTCTCTGGGTGCCCCCTCTGGCCTGCCACAAGCCAGAGAGCATCGGACAGGCGCCCACATGGTATCTCAACACCAACCCTCGTATCCCCCTGTGTGCCCACCTTCTTCTTCAGCCCCCTTTCAGTAACTAGCTTGGAGGAAGGGAGGGGGTGGGGCGGGTCAGTTTTCTGTTTAGAGCAAAGGCCCTCCTCTTTGCAGGTGACAGCACGAGGCTGGCCACCGCAGGCCGCCCCACCTGGCTGAGAGCCACAGGGAGGCACCCCAGACAGGAGTGTCAGCAGCTCGTCCTGTGGGCTCAGTGATTCCTGTGACTGCCCAGCTTCCCCCTCACCCCCACTTTGCTTGGGGCCCAAGGACACCCCGGGCTTTCTAGCAGCAGCTGTTTCTGTGTGGCCGCCCACCCCCTGAGGGTGCTTTTCTGCCTTGGGGCTTCCTCACTGAGTCTTTTGTAAGACGCCAGCTCAAGCTGCTCCTCATCCTCTAAAAGGATTGGTGGGGAGAAGGAAGTCCAGCTGCTGAGACTTCCCCGTTCACCCCTGGGGGGTCCACCACCTGGGGGCTGGGACTCGGAAAGCCCCGCCTTTACCTGCGGGAGGTCCTCGTGTCCAAACATGGAGGCCAGGTGAGCCGCCTTCTCCTTAATGTTCTTTTGGTGAAATTCCCTGCTGGCCAGGTTCTGAGCCCTCTTCTGCGTTCCAGGTGAGAAAGGAGAGGGAGAAGAGAGAAAGGAGAGAGAGAGCCAGGCCAGGGAGGAAGCAGGGGAGGCAGAGTGTACAGGAAGACAAGGAAGACCTTCAAGGGCAGAGGAGGGAGAAGGAGCAGGCGGAAGGGAAGTCCTCCCAGGCAGAGGCAGAGGAAGGGCTGAGAGGGAAGCAGTCACCTGCAGAATCTTTTCCTCCACCTCCTGCAGGCGTCGCAGCACCCCTGAGAGGGCCAGCGCTCCGGGACAGGTAGGACTTTCGGGCCCACCCAGCTGCAGGTCCGACTTGGCCCTGGCTCTCCAGGGCCTGATGGTGCCCTCGCCACCAGCAGACACTTGCTGTAGCTCTCTGCGCACGTGCCTGGGCACAGCCACCGATGCGAGCTGGGAGAGAGGGGAGACCGAGCTTCCTTCCCGACTGCGGCCCTTTCCTGGACCCCCACAGCGAGGAGCCCCCACAAGGGCCTCGGGCAAAGGGCCCCCGGCTGCCAAACTAAACCTAGCTTCGGGTGCTGACTCTCGACCCCCCTGTGTCAGAACAGCTGCCGTCCCCGTTAGAAATTTGCACTGCTAGGCCCTTTCCCAGACCCAGAGCCACTGACGGGGCACCTACGGAACAGTGGTTCCCAATCCTGGCTGTCCAATGAAATCATTTAGGGCACGTAGCAAAAACAAACAAACAAACAAACAAACAAAAACAACCCACACCCCCAAGCCTGGGCTCAGCCCCAAGACTCTGATTTAATTGACCTGCGGTAGGCACCAGAAGGGCCCTGGGAGCTACAGACACGTAACTACTAATTGAGAGCTTGGCTTGACTATTCGTGGAAAAACTAGCAGTTTGAATCACCGCCCCCCGGGGGGGAGGCGGCGGGGGCACAGAAGAAGGCCCCGGGATCTGCTTCTGGTGAGATGGTGACCAAAATGTCCCCACAGAGCTCAGCTCCACTCCCCCACACGCGGGTCACCATGAACGGATGTCCATGCAATGCCAGTGAGCATAGGCACCGGACACTGGTAGTTTCTAAGGAGCGCCCCCAGGCGATTCTCACGGGCCTGGCCATTAGACGCCCTGTGCTGCATTCACCGGCCAGCGGCAGCACCTGGTCCCGAAAGCTAGCCAGACAGCTTGGAAAGACGAGCAGCCACCAATGGTGATTGTCCTCCAATTCCAAGCCCAGGGATAGTGGTTGGAAAAGAATGCGGGTCTGTAGCTACAAGTGGCCACCTTGTCCACCTGGGGACCAGCCAGAGGTGGCCATGCAGCCTACTGTTTTCTTTCACTGTTGGCCGCCCGAGTCTGCTCCCCATCACTGCCCTGTTTCACCGACTCAGAAATTGGCCTGTTCAGGTGGGCTTCCAGGAGACTTCAATGTCATAAGGGGCGCCCCCCAACATGTCCCGCACGTAGTGTATATAATTTTTTGCCCAAGCAAAGATAGCACCAGGACATGGCGGGCGGGCGGGCGGGCAGTCAATGCTGAGGGCTGCCCAGGGATCCCCAGCCTACGTGGTTGCTCTTACCTATCCAAGTGGTGACTTCATGTGGGGTCACTGCCCAGAAGCCTCTAAGCTCAGCCCTGTCTGGAGTGCAGGAAGAGCCAGGGTGCCCCACCCCTCCGGGACAGAGTCCCCTCTGACTTCACCCCAACAGTGTCCGCTGGAAGAGGCCCTACCTGCCTTTTCAGAGGAGGTGGTGGGCTGGGTGTGGGTTCCTTCGGCTTAGGGCAGCGAGGGTTAACAGGAGAGGTAGAGGAAGAGCACAGGACGGGCTTACCTCTCCCCGCGCCGCCTCGGCAGTCCTGAGAGGAGAGAGGCAGGTCCCGAGAGCAGTCGTGGGAGGCACGAAGGAAAAGGTGAATAAGATTGAGAGACACTGAAAGGCCAGGGGGAGAGGAGGAACAGGGCAGCCCAGGGCAGGGCTCCCGAGAGCTGGCCCAGCTGGGAAACTTGAGCCCCTGGCTCTCTGTCCCTGTGAACATCCAGTCCCGGAGTCCCCTCCTCATGGACAATGTGTGAATGCCAGGGAGGCTTTGCTCCTGGCTCAGACACAGGCTTGCTTATGTCCTGTCTCGGGTGCTTCCCTGCCACAGCAGCATGCCTGATCTATAAGTATTCTGTCCCTCTCCTTAGGCAGGCCTGGCGCAAACGAAGCCTTGAAGTCCACTACTAGCCCACACATTCCTGCCGGCCCGGTCACCAGGACAGCAGGTCCACGGAGCACCTGACATGACTGACCTGCTTCTGGAGCGAAGGGTTCACAGTGCTCTCCTCGAATTTGGCCAGCAGCTGGTTGGCAATGGACTTGACTTTGTTCTGATTTCCACCATCTTTAACACTCCCGGGGTCTGGACCGGAGCCGAGGCTTTTGCTGGAGAAGCTTGAAAGCTGCAAAGGACAGAAGGAAGCATCGGTTGTTGGAACTCAGGCCACAGGGTGGGAGCTGGGGGTGCAGGCCACAGGGCTACTTTCCTGGAGGAAGACCTGCTTTGCTGTTGGAAGAAGGGGAGCGGGCAGCAGGTACTGCCCAATGACCATAAACATGGGCCACATTGTCCAGGAGGAGGAGTAGGCCAGGTGAGGAGTCAGGTAGTGAGGGTCTGGGCCCTGGCTGGTTTGCTTCCCTGGTGTCCCCCCACCCCCCCAAATGCACAATGGATGACCCACTTCACACGGTTCTTGCAAAACTGAAAAATAACAAAGTGAAGGGCAGGTAAAGTCGAATTCAGGACCCATCAGCACCTGGCGGCCATGAAGCGGAGTGTGGACGGAGGTAGGGAGCTCTCTGGGACAGGACCCCTCCCTTTGGGCCTGTCTAGTGTTTTCCCAAGACTAGAATGGGCTTGCGGATTTGGGGTGAGGAGGCCATAGAGGGGAAGGGCCCTTCTCGTCACATCATGACACAGGGCACATGATAGGAGCAGGATGGCGACTGGTGACCTCAAGCTTGGTCACTTGGTTAGGCTGCCATCCCAAAGGGAGAACCACCCACCACCCACGTTCCCTTCGGCTCCTCTGCTCCAAAGACACCTTTGATTGGCCGGACGCCTTGGGAGGTCCCATGCCAGGAGTGAACGCTGATGGACTCGAAACCATGGAGTCCATCACCATTGATCGGGTTGGTTCACCAACTGTAACCAACGTACCCCTCCACGCCATGCCACGCAGATGCTAACAATGGGAGACAGTGTGTGCAGGGGGAGGGGCATATGAGAACACTCTGTATTTCTTGCACACATTTACTGTACACTTTCAACAACCCCCAAATAAAATCTACTAAGGATAAGTAGAAATGTGAAATGACCAACACTTCACGCATGCCTCTCCACCTGCTCACCATAGGACCTGCTCCCATAGGCCTCAGCAGAACATGCGGAAGTGGCAGAGCAAGTGAGCAGTGTGCTTCTCAAGGACACAAAGGACCACCCATTCCCCCCCCCCTGCTCCCCAGAGCACAAAAATGTGCTCAGTTAGGCAGAATTCATGGGAGAAGGCAGGCTATAAGCAGCTGGTTTTCCCAAAGGTCCCTAGTTGTAGCAGCCCCCTGGGAAACTGTCTGTACTGCCTCTCGGGGTGCATGTGAACACACACCAAGGGTCACCCCCTACTTCTGAGAGGGAGCTGTCCCTCTGCCTATTGACACAGGCATTGGTGCGAAGTGGGGGAGTATCTGGAAAGGTCACGACAGCCAGGAGGGGGAGCCATGCAGACCCTGCTTCTCAGCTGTCCGTGTTGTGGGGAGCAGCTGGGGAGGTCTCCTGCACAGGCAGGTCCTGGTTCTGCAAGGTCAAGGGTGGGTGCTGAGAATCTGCGCCTCTAACAGGACCCCAGGTGATGCTGATGCTGCCGGTCTGTGAAGCACACATCCTGGAGCAAGCCTCTACTGAGAATGGTTGTTTTCTCAAAGCGGATGCTGCCCCAGAAAGCAGTCAAAAGCCATCCCCCAAAGAGGCCAGATATAAACCAGATTTCTTCCCACACTCTAACTCCTATGCTTCCACCAACTCCCCACCCTTCAAGCTGCAATGAGACAGGCTGAGAATAAACTAAGGATGAAAGGCAGGCAAAGACTCTGGCCTGGGACAAAGTGTTCCTTAGGGAAGCCTCTAGGGAAGGAGGCAGCCGCACACCCAGGGCCCAAAGGCACAACCAACAGCCAGTAACCTGGGAAGTGGGATGGCTCTCCAGTCCTCGGTCAGCCTCTGTGTCTTCCTCCTCCAAACCACCTCCCTCCTGACCAGCGTCTTCCAAACCCCACAGCTGGAACCAAGAGCAGGCAAAGAAAGAACTCTTGGCGGATCACCCACAGCAGCTGTAGGAAGTATCCTGAAAGGGGGCCTTGAACTCACTGAGCAGAATGAGTCTGTTTCCCTTGGAAGTGGCCAACTGGACAACAGGTCTCCCTCATCAGAGCCTCCCTCTGGCCACCCTAGAAATTGGGTGAGTCCGAGGCAGCTACAGCTCACGGCTCTATGTCAAGTCCAGTGTCACGAGATGGAGTGTTGAGACCCACATCAGACAGGTCACCGAATGTCATGAAATGGCCCAGACACAAACCCCTCGAGTCATATACGCTCTGTAACTGGGACTCACAGTGGCCCTCCAGAGGGGGTCTGAGGCTGTATGTCTTCACAGGAGTAGACACAGCCTCATCTTTCAGGGGTGGCTGGGGGGTTGGACTCACCGACCTGGCAGTTAGCAGACTAGTGCTTACCTGGCAGTGCCACCCTATAGGAGCAACGATTCTCTGCCACGTTCTAGCGAGCAAGTGCCCCTGCATGCGCACGTTTTCCCCAGGGCCTCTGGGCCACCCTGTTGACGTAAGCCAGTGGGAAGTTGGCGGGCAGTCGTTAACACTGGCCTCTGTGAGACTAGACTGGCCTTGGGAATAAAGGCCACATCTCAGGTCTCTGTACAGAGGCCCAGGGTAGCAGGAAGCTGGGAGCCTTAGTCTCAGAGAGTGACCCGTGGTCTGCCAGGACAAAGTGGCCTGTAATTGTCTTGATTCACCAGAAGGTGGCACTGGTAGGGCGCTGGGACATTGCCTTGCAGACCCAAAGCACAGGAAACACAAGGGAATACCGAAAGAGTGACAGGGAGGAAGGTGGTAGTTAAGTACATATTGACCAATACACATGCTAAGAGTTTTCTCAGCATTATATATGTGTGGGCGCATGTGTATACTCCCCCCCCTCCCCTGCCATCAAGTCAATTGCAACTCACAGCCCCCGTATAGGGCAGAGTAGAAATGTGTTCTAAGGTTTCTGAGGCTGTAACTCTTTACAGGAGCAGACAGTCTCATCTTTCTCCCACAGAGCAACTGGTGGGTTTGAACTGCCAACCTCACAGTTAGCAACCTGATGCTTAACCCACTACACTACCAAGGCATCTCGTTGACTCTGTGAAGATCTGGCAGTTCATGCTCTCAGATGATCTGCCCTGCTTCCACTGACAGGAAACACCAGAGAGGGAATATTCCTGGAGGTGCCGGGGCGAGCAGGGGCTGGTGTGAGGACCATCACCCTAGAAGGCCTTCCCATCCAGCCATGCGGGGTACCCATGGCCCCTGTGTAAATGAGAGAGGCGAGGCAGGGGGCCAGGGATGGAGCCTGGGCCAGCAGCTGGTTGAGAGGAGGCGGCCTGGCTTCCACTGACCTCATCCAGGTGGCTGAAGGCTTTCCGCCTCCGCTTGTTCACGTCGTTCTCCTCCGTTTGGCCGTCCACCTGCAAGGGCGAGGGGAGCAGGTTGAGCCTGGGCCTCCTTCACTCAAGTCCACTAGCCTGCTGAGTTAGCGCTGGGGACAGACAGCTCCCTGTCCCTAGACAGCTGCTAACCTGGGGCCCAGATAAAGGAATAAAGGGCCCTGCCCCACGCCATCACAGTGCCATGACCAGGCATCCAGGAACTCCACCCAGGAACCAGGGGTTCTGACAGAGTGGGTGGACATCGTGCCCTAACAGAGGCGAGAAAACATCCCTATGCTCACACAGTCCCTGTGGTGGGGGCTGTTGCCAGTGACCTTGGGCTCCAAGCAGTGACAAGTCTGCCTCAAGGTCACAGCCAGGCATTGGAGACCACTGCTCTGCCTGCAGGGGGTGATGCTGGTCTACCTCACAGGGGCCCTCTCCGGACTCAGACCAGCTGTCTAGGGATTTGACAGCAAACAAAGGCTGCAATTGGGTCCCCATCACAGCTTCAAACAGGAGCATTTGACCAGTTTCCAGTAGACCTTAGACAAGACCTGCATATAAGGGGGTCCCTACGACTCTGTTTCCCCAGGGCAGTTGAGGTTGACTGCTTTTTGTGCATCGGGCATCATTCGCAGTGCCCTTCTGACGCGCAGAATGATCCTGGACAGGCCATGACGTGCTTGTGGCTGACAGTCGTGGACTGCCTGCTGCCGGAGTCTGAACAGCTAAAGCCAGAGAGCCCAGCACATCACCCTGCCAGGGCCCCCGAAGGAAGGCCAGGCTGGTCCTCAGACACGTCTCCCTGGAGAATGCGCAGGGCTGTGCAGGGCAAGCTGAAGGGAGGCGGGCTGGATTTAGGCCTTCCTTTTTCAGTTTCCTGCTATGTAACCCTGTCCTTGACTCAGGGACCACCCAGGACCTATCCGTCCCTCTGTGGTCAGAACAACTCCCAGACAGGGCTGGCTCCCTCCGGACCATGGTTTCATGACCTACCTACTGTGCATCCCCTCTGTTGAGAGTCCCCTCCACTCTCAGAGGGACCCCCATCACAGGCCCAGATGGAATTCCAGTGGCTGTGGGCTCTCACCATCAGACCAGGCATCCGGCCCTCTCAGCCCTGGACCATGAGTTGGATCAAAACAGAGTAGGATACAGTTTCCCCCTGACTGCTCTGATACAGTAGCAGCTACAGGGACCCCTGGGCACACAGCCCACAATGTGTCCACTGCTCTCAGTGGGAAGCCCTGTTCCCTCTGCTCCCCACCACCCACCCACCCACCTGCTGCTGCCAGTCTGCCCTGCTGTGGTGGCTTGCACATTGGAAGCTATGCCACTGGTATTTTAAAGAACACTCTGGTCACCTACCTTAGACCAAACCAAACTCACTGTTATCAAATCAAACCAGATTCATAGCGACCCTATAGGACAGGGGGACCTGCCTCTATGAGTTTATGAGACCGTAACTGTTTATGGGAGTAGAAAGCCCATTTTTCTCCCAAGAAATGGCTAGTGGTTTCGAACTGCTGACCTTGTAAATCTCAGTCCAAAGAGTAACACTATAGCACCAGGCCTCCTTCCTATAGTAGGAGAGACCTCAGCAAAACTTCCAGACTAACTACAAACTAGGGAGAAAGGCCTGGTGATGTGCTTCCAGGAATTAGCCAATGAAAATCTTATGGATTACCACAGAATCTTATTAGCTATACTGCTAGATGATGGGTGGACTGGAAGGCACAAACAAACAAACAAACAAACAAACAAACAAACCCCTCACTGCTATCCAGCCCATTCTGATTCATAGTGACCCAATAGCACCAAGCAGCAGTGCCCCTGTGGGTTCCGAGGCTGCAGTGCCCCTGTGGGTTTCCGAGGCTGTGAATCTTCAGGGAAGGAGGAAGCCTCATCTTTCTCTTACGGAGTGGCTGGTGGATTTGAACTGCTGCCCAGCTCAGAATCCCCTCCACACCACAGCTCCTTCCTGGGTGGGAAGGCACTCAAAACACATCTTCATTACCCGTGTGCCATACCCCAGGTTTACCACCAACTTGTCTTTTTAACAGGTCCTCCTCTGATGGCACTGTGGGTTAGGCATGGGGTTGCTAATTCAACGCTGGCGGTTCAAACCCATCAGCTGTTCTGAGGCGAGAAAGATGAGGCTGTCTGCTCCTGTGCCGACGAGCTGTCTTGGAAACCCTGTCCAGGGTCGCTACGAGGCAGAAGTGACTCGATGGCACCATGTTGGCTCTTGGAGGCTTTCGTTTTTCAGGCAAAATCAACCATCGTTTAATCAGTGACATTTGTTCAGACAGTTGGCTCTTCCCTTCTTGTCCAGGCAGCTCAGAACATCAGATCAAAGGGCCTCACCTCCCCTTTCAACATTTCCTCCAGCTTCTGATAAATCATGATGTTGGGAATGGAAATGATTTCAGTCCAAAGGCTTGGGCAAACACCAAGAGAAACAAATGACCTTATTTGCAACAGTGTTGGAGCTTGGAGGCCCGGGCTGGCTAGCTAGCCCCACGCCACGCCCTGCGCATGGTGCTCTGGGCCCGAGACTGGAGCCGGTGCAAGAACAGAGTGTCCCAGCCTACAGGAACACAGCGAGGCCGATCACGAGTTTCTGCTGTTTTTCTGCTTCCACCTTTCGTGAGGACTTGGCCTCCCCCTCCCAAGGAGCCACACGTCTTTCTCTGACATTCAGACTCCACAGCCTAGGGTTCGGCTCTTCACATAACCAGAGGCAATGCAGATCCAAACCATCCAGGCCACCAGCTCACAAAAGGCAGTCCCGGGACAGAGTGCCAGCCAGCAGCTCCTCAGAAGCACCTGGACTCTCAGGAGGGAGGGAGGACGGGGGCAGGTGGGGAGAGCCTCAGCTCCTAGGGTTCGCCCTGCCCCAATGGTAACGTGGAGTTGATGTGGAAATGTCCGTAAGGACATACTCCGTATGGCTACCGCATGACGCTGTGATCACGGAAGCACTGCTTCTCAGTGAAGGGCCAGCCAGGGGGCAACATGAAGGTTGAAATGAAAACCTCTACCTGTATCTAATTGCTCTATCATTTATGATCTCTTTATCTGCATATCTCTATCTATCTATATTTGGCAGCAACCAAGCCTCAGCTCCCCCAGTCCCTTGGATCCTAGTCTTTTCTACAGAGTCCCACCACACACCTGTCCCTGTGTCGCACTGTGGTGGCCTGATGCTAAAAGCGGTGCTACTGGTAATGTCCCAGCAGGGTCACCCGAGGCGAACGGGTTTCAGTGGAACTCCCCGTCTAAGACACATGGGGAAGGAGGCCGTGGCGGCAGCAGCAGCAGTGGCAGAGTATTGAGGACACAGAGGGAGAGAGTACCGACCAGTTCCCAGTGGGAGAGAGCCCGAAGACAAACACACACCCTGCTTTCTCTTCCTACCAGCGCTGTCCAGCCTTTCACGTAAGAGCGCTTGGGACGTTCCCTGTGATTTCTAACCTAAGGACATTCAGCAAACTCATTAACTTCCCCATAAAACACCAACCACCCAACCAAACACACAAAGAAGCCAAAGACTTCGCTTGACCAACACAAGAAATGAGGCCCCGTACTGCTTGAATACTGATTTTTCGCCCAATCAAAGACACCTGCTATATAGCTAGTTGCCCCGCCCAAGCCTGTTCCAGTTAGCCTGGGGGGTGGGTCTGGGGAGCACGTCTGGCTGCTGCAGACCCAGGGCTGGCTGAGGAGGGGTGGCGAGCAGGCACAGGGCCAGCCAACTGGCAAGGCAGCTCTGCACGCAGCCAGTGATGGAGCAGCAAGGAGTCACGGGGCTGAGTTCCCACACCGACCACCTCTCAGCTGTGTGTCTTTGGGGAAAAATACCCGATTTCTCAGACTTCAGCTTCCTCACTTTGTCCGCTTCATAAACTGTCGTGTGGAAACTGGAACTCACGCGTGGAGAACACTTCTTAAAGCGCCGGCCGGCAGTTAGACACTAGCCGCGCGGTTAGAATGGGTTACCAGTAGTGGCGTCGGTGACGTCTAGTTCTCCTTTGGACAGTTCCCCACGATGTGACTTCTGACAATTTGATTCTCATCACTCTGGGTTCCCCCATCTACACAACTCTGAAGACAATCGGTTCCCTGCCTTTTACACACACGCACGCGCACACACACACACCCCAGGGGCAGCGAGGTAGCTACTGAAGTGCTGCCTATGCTCGTGGTTGTAAACGAGGGTCCCACTTCCCGAGTGTTTGGCTCTTCTCAGAGGTCTTCTTCATCAGCACCCCTGGATGACGGGCCCTGTCATTTCCTGAGCCCCTTCGTGTGCCAGGCTGGGCACTGCACTTGCCATCTTGACAATGTCAGGAGTTGTGTGTCACGATCCCCTTTTGAAGACAACAAAGGGGCGTGCTGAGGGCTTCACACATTTGTTGCATCGCCAGCGAGCCTGAACACACGTGTCTACCTGCCTTCAAACTTCACCCCAGTCTGCACGTCCGCTCAGAACCCTTAGCTGTGGCTACCTGGTGGGAAGGAGAGACAGCGGTGGGCTTAGCAGTCACCCACAATCCACCAGGCCTAGAGGGGCTGCAGGAGGGCACTGGGCTGGGCCCTGTTCACGACAGCATCACAATCCTACCGAAAACCCAGACCAAACTCACTAGCACCAGGTTCATGGAGACCCTAGAGGACAGGGTGGACCCGTCTTCTGGTGACCCCAACTCTTGTTGCCTTTCTCCTGCAGAGCAGCTGGTAGTTTCGAATCGCTGGCCTTGCAGTTAGCAGCTGAACGCATAACCCGCTATGCCACCAGGGCTCCTTCTGAATCCTAAGCCATCTTCAAAGTTCAGAGTTTAAAAGTTCTGGGAACCCAGGGAGGGGCTTTGTGACTGGGGAAGGGGAGTGAGAGGAACTTAGTTCACTGGACCGGTGTTTCCCCAAGTGGGTGAAACCGCACCCTGGGGGGTGCTGGAAAGATCTAAATGGGGGAGGGAGGGGTTGGATTATAGGCGACAGCCCCAAAGCGTTTCATTGCCGGGGGGCACGCAGTGATTGTTTTCTGAAAAGGGGGTGGTAAGCCAAGTAAGCCTGGGGGCCTGTGTACTATGGACCTAAGCTCCCCTGACAGGGTCCTTGCTTGTCCTGTTCCCTGGTCTGTCCCCAGCACCTAGATGAGAATTCGGCATCACTGGGCGCTCACTAAGTATGTGGAGAATGAAAGGCTAGCCGGAGAAGCCACTTTCTTAGAGAGTGCCCCTTGCTCCTTGGACCATGTTTGTGCAGAGAGCCAGAGAGAAGGGCGGAGGCAGGCGGCTGGACTACCCAGACCTGGGACTGGGACCACGTCTGTGTTGGCCCCAAGGAGTGGGCTCAGAGTGGGATCAATAGGCAATGGCCATCATCACCGTTGTAAAAGTGTAAGTCACGTGTGGCAGGTCCAAGAGAGTGTAGATAAGCACCGTGTGGGTGCATGTGCAGGAATGAGGTAGGCCAAGCCTACCAGGGAGGTTTCATAAAGTCCATGGAAGAGCTCCATTATCTTTCAGTTCCATTTCCTTATGAATTGTTCTGAGCCTTCTGTGTCCAGGGGTCACCTGCATGCATGGTGACAAGAGATTCGTAGCACCTGGGAACTGTCCCATGAGGCACTGAGATACTGTCCCGGATCAGCTGGAGATCAGCCAAAGCAGACTCCTTTCTAAGGGGGAAACCGGAACACCACGGTCCCCGGCTTCTCTTTTCCCCAGGGTGGGTCATCCAGGCGTCGGCGCTATCAATCCAATCAGGTGCCACTCACCAGAGGGACCTCCTGCCTGGGAGACGAGAGGGCTGTTCTCTGTCTTCCGTTCTGGCAGCAGTTGCTAACTCTGGTGGCCGTTGGGATGTTATCAGGAAGACAACAGCAGGGAGAAGAGACTATATAACCAAGAGTGAAAAAACCAAAAACAGAAACAGAAGGCCCAGGGAGATGCTTAAGACGGGCTCCGGAGAAAACAACGGATCCTGCTCAGAGTAAGATGCCGCGTGGTGCAACAAGATAACACGGATCAATTTCCAGAGCAAGACATTCCCGCATCCAGTTGGGGGGTGAGCAGGGAGGGTCAGGAAGGGATGGAGAGAGGGTGGTGTCGGACGCAGGCGCACCTCTGTGAACGGGTAATCGGTGTGCTCGGCCTGTGTTGCTAGTGTTAGCCAGGTGTGTGAGTTCGGGCACGGAGGGCTAGTGTCCTCTCTGTGTGGGAGCAGACCAGAGGGGACTCGGTGCTCTCTGCCTGTGGGAAGTACGAAGGCCACTTGAGCCAGAGATCACACCGATACAGCACACGCTCCCCTGGTGGCATGGGGAGAGGGTCCTGTGTGGGTGGTTCTGGGCACGGGCCTGCTGGGAGGGTGTGCTGCTGGACCAGACTTGGAGCCATTTCAGTCATGGCCAAGGCACAGTGTGACCCTTCACCCCCGCCCCCACCCCCCCAGGGGAAGTGCTCAGTCCCTTTCAGGACACACAGAAGAACAAACACCGCCCATGCCAAGCACCCGCCTCAATAGCCAAAGCTCTCTAGGCTCCGGAGAGCGAGAGCGAGGCAAATGGTGAACATTCCATGGGGCTGTGGAAGGGCCTGGACCCTCTCCTAAGACTGGTGAGTTTCTTTCTACGATTGACCGATTGACCGGGGCTCAAAATGGGCTGGGGGCTCAGCAGGGCAGAGCCTGGGAAGCCCAGTAGCCCTGGGGTGGTAAAGTCTGGCTAGCCTCACGGACTACTGACTTTTGACCACTCCAACTTTGAGGGCAGAGCCGGGACTCGGGTCCGCAAGTGGAGTCATTCTATAAACAGAGGCGAGGTGAGCCGAAGGTTTACACACTCCACCTTGGTTCCCTCAGCCATTCCCAGGGCCATCTGGTGGCTGAAACTGGGGAGGCCCATGACAGATGGCATGTTCGGCTCAGAGAGCTTCCAGAAAGACTGCATGGCCCCGCTGGGGTTAGAGAAGCCCACAACAGGGGGCCTGGCCTTCAGAGGAAACCTGGCGCAGCTTCTGGGGCACCCACCTGAGATTGGTCCTCTGTAGGCAGTTCCCTCAGTGGGACATGTGTTGCAGAACGAAGCCCCTGCCTGGAGCCCCTCAACTCGGGCTGGCCAGGGAGCAGAGGAGCACAAGGGGCTAGGTGAAGCTCCTTGTTTTGGCAGTTCTGCTGCAAATCCCAAGAGACCTGCACACCTTCCTTCCCATCTCAGCCTGGCTAGCCCAGGCCTTCCGTCAGACAGGGCGTGGCAGAAGCTGCCTGTTGGCAAAGCAACTATTCTGCCATTCCAGGGAGAGCACACCTCAGTGGAAAAAGTGACCACTGCTCACAAGCCGCCGAGGGGAAAAAAGGAGGCGCCAGTCCTACCCGGAGAGGATGGGCTGGCAGGACCTGGCGTGATGGGCCAGGGCCGAAGGAGACTGCTGGCAATTGAGAGACGCTCAAAACACGCAGAGGCTTGCAGCCCCTCTGGGATGTGAGCCGAGGACCTGCCTGAAGTTCTGGAGTGGGCAGGCAGGCTCTGTCTGTCTGTCTGTCTGGGCCTCCCCTGCTCAAGCCAATGTGCTGGCCTCATCCTGGACCACGCCACCCCCCACCCCCACCCCTGCCTCTGCTCCGACCGACCACCACTTGAGTTATGCTTTACGCTGCCATCCATACGGTCCGTGGTTCAAACCCACCAGTCACTGCATGGGAGAAAGACGAGGCTGTGCAAAGGTTTAAGGTCTTGGAGACCTACGTGGGTGGGACTACCTTGCACTGTGGGGTAGCCACGAGTCAGAATCGGCGGGATGGCAGAGTCCCAGCTTCCTGAAGTGGAGCACACGGAGTTCTGCCTCGTCATTCATCCCTGATGCCTTCCTCGTGTCGATTCATCCACTCCAAGGCTCCAGAGGGCTGCCCATTCTGTCCAAGTGTCACAGGACAACTGTGCTGCTCAGGGCTTACAGGACTGAGTTTTAAGAAGCCAATGGCTGGGCCTTTCTTACAAGGGCCCCTCAAGGTGGGCTCGAACTGTCCACCTTTTGGTGAGTGGCTGTATGCACAACCAAATGATGTTTCCTCATCATTCAGGCCTGATATCCTCTGAAGCTCACTCTTGGCCCCCAACACCTCCAAGTCCCACGGTCTTTCCTCAGCCCTCATCGGTTCAGCTTCCCCGCTGTCTACGTCGTCTCCAGAGCCCATCCTCCAGAATGCCTTTCCTGACCGCCCGCTTCTTTTCTCATCTCCGTGCCCGCCCCGCTGCTCTAAGTCCCACTGTCCCTTGGTTTGCAGCCTCTCGCCCTGTCTTTCCAGCTGGACTCTCGGGTCAAGCCTTACATCACGTCTGGAAGTCCTTGCACTAAGTAACTGAACGCATGGACCATTCACGGTCAAGGGAACACGGTACAGGGGACAATGCAAAGACGAACTGTCATGAAGAGGCTGTGAATGGCCTCGGACAAGGCAGCCCACCCTCCGGGCCTCCACATCTTCATTTGAAAACTGAGCGTGTCAAACAAGACGGTGTCTATCACACCTCCCGCTGAGAAGCTGTCACTCAATAAAATGATAATTTCCTAGGAGGCCCTTCCGTGCGCCTCAACTTTGGACCAAGGCAAGGCACCCTATGATGCCTCAGCGGCCGCCCAGAGGCACCAAAGGATGGTTTCATACGTGAGGGGAAACACTGTAACACTGTGAAGGACTCCAATTAAGCTAGCTGGTCTTCACTAGCCAATGCACAGAATAGTTGGGTATTGCTTTTGTCTGCAGGCTGCATGGAGAAATTACAGGGACCCCAGGGCGACTGCTGTACACTGAGAGTGCTCGGGAATCACTTCACTGGGCTCTGAGTGCCTCCTGGGCAAGGGCCATGTATTATTTACCTCTAATATTCCTGTTCTCATCATACATTATTTAAATGCAGTCTTCTATGGATCATGTGGGGGGTTTCCCCTTCATTCTGTTAAAGTGGTATACTACATTGATTTTTTTTTTATGTTGAACCACCCTTGAATTCCTGGGATACATCCTAATGTCCTTTAACATGCTTTTGGATTCTGTCCTTCAGACGGGATTTTCACAATTCTGTTCATAAGGGACACTGGTCTATAATTCTCTGCTCTGGCCGGATCGAGATCTGATTTTGGTAACCGGGCCATGCTGGACTCGGAGAATGAGTGGATTCCTCCCCAGAGCTTCAGAGGGATCCCTGTCGCCTCCTCTTGAAAGGCCCTGCAGCATCCCCAGGAAGCCATCTAGTCCTGGGCATCTTCCTTTGTCGGGAGGTATTTTGTTGTTGTTGTTTTGGGGAGATTTTTGATGACTGATTGATACCTTCTCTTGATATCGATTTATTAATTTTTAAAAATACTCACCAGCATGTCCTTTCAGTCCTATGTCATCCCTTTCCTACAACCAGTTAGAATTCATTGAAACTCACTACACAGTGCCACGCAGAATGCCCATTGTTACTCGCATCTCCCACGAGTGTGAGGCCCATGTAGTTAATTAGTATCATCGGACTGAACACATGAAATCCACCCCCTCTTTCCCATCCACGTGCAAGGAGAAATAGGCAAACACCAGGCCAAGGCTTACTCGTGGGGTCCTCTTCCTTGGCAATGTGAGGTTGAGATAATTATTAGAAATGGATGCTTTGGCCAAGCTGAGGTCAGCATTTTCTCCATAGTATTTGCCCCAAGAATCTGTCAAGAAAGAAAAGTACAACTGAGATTTGGGTCCCTGACACCGGTACCTCAGAGCCCGAGGGGTGTCACTGTGACAACCCAAGACGCTTCCAGAATCATTCTCTCACCTGAAACTAAGGGTATATGTGGCCCAGCGAGAGAGGAGGATGTGGTTCTACCGATGATCTAATGACAGGTTCCACTGGGCACCTCCCACACAGATTCATGGGTCTGGGCGGGTAGATCTACCTGGCCTGGCCTCAGTGCCATCCCAGGAAAGATGACACGAGCATTAGGAGTGGGCAGACACGGGCACCGGGCAGAGACGGCTCGAGGGGTGGGGCAGAGCCTCTGGGAAGGTCCTTACCCACAGTCCTCAGCGGGGTGCCTCGGAAGAGCTCGTAGAACTTGGAGAGGTACATGACGATGCTGAGCTTGTCGGGCTCCTGGCCTGCCGCCATCTCCCTCCCAGTGGTGACTGGGGGGATCCCGAACTCCCGCTCGGCCACATCAAATGCTAGCTGGTTGTTCTGCACCGCATCGTCTTCATTCAAAGCGTCGAAGTTGCTGAAGAAGCAAAACAAGGGAGAGGAGTTCGGGCCAAACAGGCGGAGGCACAGTTAGCCGGAAAGTACTGCTGGGCCCTGAGCCAGGTGTTGGCACAGGTGGGGGCACGCCAAGGAAGCAGGGAGCCCAGCCCAGCCCGAGGGGCAGCTTAGCCAGGAAAAGATGCTAATCCCTGCGTCTCCTTCAGAGCGGCACCAAATTAGACTTGGACCATGATGCTGTCATGACAGCCTTGGCTGCACAGCCGGAAAGTGATTACCGAATCCTCCTCGGAAATGCTATGAGCGATTGTCTTATCAAACGGGTCCCCCTTCAATGGACAATGTTAAGACACGAAATAACAGCAATAATATCTACCCTGTTTCCCCGAAAGTAAGACATCCCCTGAAAATAAGACCTAGCGCATCTTTGGGAGCAAAAATTAATATAAGACACTGTCTTATTTCCGGGAAAATGGGGTAATTGATCGAGGATCCATGAGGGTGGGAGGGAGGGGAAAAAAGAGGAGCTGATACCAAGGACTCAAGTAGAAAGAACACGTTTTGGAAATGTTGATGGCAACAGATGTACAAGTGTTCTTAATACAATTGAAGGATGGATTGTCCTAATATTTGTAATAAAATAAACTGATAAAAAAATACACCTCCCTTTTAAGCTGCAAAAGTAACACGGTTTCTCGTAAACTACAGACAAACTCTCACACTACCCACAGCACACACAAGAGGAGCACCATCCCCCGGAGGCACCGACCCGGAAGCCCTTCCGAGGCTTTGCTCCAGCCTTTTTGGACGAGTCTCCACTTGGATTCTAAGGGATACTGCCGCTGATTTCAACATAACGCTGACCAATGCATTGTGCTTCGGCAATCACAAAGTACTTCCGCAAATAAAATGCAACCTTCTTCGTGATCCGATTGATAGACAGAGGCGAAACCTCACGGGAGATGGGTGGCTGGTCCAACGGCAAGCTCACTCTCCTGATTTTAAATCCCTCACACCAGTTCCAAGAAGTAGGTCTTGCTCAGAATCCCTTTCTTGAGGGGACGAATGCTCAAATGTTCAAAGGGTGGTGGATGAGGCTGGGGGGGGGGGCGGGTGAGGATGTTGCTAAGCCCGAGCCACTTCTACGCCTCGAACATGAGGTGTACAGGTCAAGGTCCTGTTGTCAGAGACAATCAATATAATGGGGAAGCATATATTGGAAGGGGAGGGGGTGGACAACCTTCAAATGAAACATATACTAAGACAAACACTGAACTGGGGCCTGGACATGCTACATCTAGCAGAAGAGCTCTGGGACTCTTGTCCCCAGAGTCCCCCTCTGGCTGGTGAGGGACAGGGCAGGTCCAGCCAGGCCCCAGACTCACATGAGCTCTGGCCGGAAGCGGTGGATGATGGCGCACAGGGCCAGGCCGTTGCGCCACGAGCTGGTCATGTCAGTGATGCTGACGTGCTGGTAGCCCTCGGTCTGCTGCTGGCACCAGGTTAGGAGCTTGCTCGGCCGGACGTCTGACTCTGCAGCAGACAAAGGTGCAGAATTGGCATTAGAGTTCCAGCTGCGTCCCCTGGGGACCTCCTCCAATGGCTGGGGACCAGGAGAGATGGTACCCAGGCAAGGGATCCAATGCCAGGGGCCACCCAGCACACATGGACTCCCATAGACTGCTCCCTCATGGTGGGAGAGCAGGAAGCTGGGACAGGAAGCACATGTGTCCCCAGCAAAGAGCCCCTCAGCCCCACTCTGGCCAGACCCAGTGGACTCTGCCACCATCCTGCCCCTCTAGTGGGAGAGCTGTGGGAGCAGGCCCCTGCTGCACTGGAGTGTGTGCCGCAGTGAGGGGGCAGCAGGAGTCTGGGTCTACTCTGAGCTGGCCCCAGGAGGAGACGAGCCCAGGGAAGCCCCCCAGCAGAGATCCTCTGGAACTAGCACCCACAGATGAACTCCTTACCAGTGGTTCTCAACCTTCCTAATGCCGCAGCCCGTTAACACAGCTCCTCATGTGGTGGTGACCCCAACCATAAGAGTATTTTCATCCCTGTCATGGTGCTACTCTTACGAATGGAGCGACCCCTGTGAAAGGGTCTTTCGACCTCCCAAGAGGTCATGACCCACAGTTGAGAACTGAGGCCTTAGACTGAGGAAGGCAGCCAGGGAGGCAGACCGGGTGGGCATGGCAAAGACTCAAGCCGGCCATGTTTGGGAGGCAGGCAAACAGTTAATAGCTACAGGGAGTGCGTGGTGGGGAAAGAGGCGTGCACTCCGGAAGGGGGAGAGATCTTTCAGTAGGAGAGTGGCCTGCCCACAGCGGGCTTGTAGGGAAATCTTCATTTAACCATTCCTTCTGTTTCCCAGGGTGCACTGGCCTCACACCCAGTCTTGTGCTCAGCCCAGAAAGAGCAGGAGAAGAGTGAGATGCGTGGAACCCGTTGTCCAGTTTGGGAGACTGGCCAGCTAAGGCCCATGGAATCACCAATACCAGCCAACATCACACGGCTCCCCGCAGAGCAGCAGTTCCTCGCACCACATCACATTAGGGGCAAGTTCATGAAATGCTTGACCATATAGCCTGTGAATGACGTTAGAAATAGCCAATGGCCCTTGGCAGAGAAAAGGCCCCGCACCCCTGCCAAACAGGAAACCATTAGAAAAAAATGTTTTTTTTCCTAGTTCAGTGAGATGCAGTTGGTCTTTATCATCAGTGGGTTCATATTTCTGAGTTCGCCTACTGGCACAGATGGACCTGGGACCCCTCAGGCAAGGCTCCTGGTGCTTTGAAGACTTGTGGGTGGCGGCAAACCCTTGGGCCACCCCTAAGTGCCTGAGCTCCAACAAGGGGACTCGGTGCCTTTTTATTGTGGCTCTCGCGCTGCAAGCTGAATCCTTACCCCTGGTGTATTCTGTGCCTCCTTTCTCACTGTCTCGTTGGTGAGTTCACTGGAGAAGAGGCCCCATGCACCGCGGAGAAGTGCGGTCTAATGCTTTTACATCTAGGAAGGCTGTCAAGGGCCTAATCTGTCTGTCCAGTTAGGCTTTGTTCCGGCACCAGTGAGAATGCTATTGGCTGTGAGTTCAATGCTCGTGATTCAGCCACGTAGCACGTGTTCCGCGGCCTGTCCTTAAACAGACACACGCTTAAAACAAGGTTAGGTACTGGTTCAGCTAAGCCAAACTGTCAGCTTGATTGCGGATCACAGCAGCCCTACAGCACAGATACAGCTACCCCGCAGGGTCTCCTAGGCTGAGAATCCTTATAGAAGGAGACAGGCACATCGTCCTCCGGCAGAGTGGCTGGCAGGTGCCAACGGCCAACCTCCTGCTCAGCACGGAGTGATTTAACCACTATGCCAGCAGGGCTGCACTATGGAGTGATCCATTGATGGAAACAGGCTGCGACCAGAGGCTTGCAGGAACCTCGCCCTGCGCTTCCTCTGGGAGCAGTGGCTCAGCATTTGTGAATGCCATGTGCACGGTAATCTCCAGAGAGTCACTGCCAGGAGTCATGGGAATCGACTGTAACCCACAGCTCACACCTACCGCACAGAGTGCTCCCTCGACCTTTCTGACCATTCGAGGTGTAGGCGTGGTCTCCACCTTCATTTTACAGAGGAGGACACTGAGGTTCAAAGAGGAGAGGGGCTGGACGAGGTCCCCCGGCGACAGGGGCAGAGCCACGCTGTCCTCAGAGCCTCTGTCACCACCGCCAGTGGGCCTCCTCCCGGAACAGTCCCTCCTGGCAATCTGGCCCAGAGCAGGGGTGCTTCTCCCAGGCCAGGTCCCCACAGGGCTGCTTACCTCGCCTGGAGAGGCCAGCGGATCTTCTCACGGAGCCCACCCTCTCCAGAGGGCAGCAGGGCAGCTCCTTCGTGATGTACAGATGCTTCACCTGCGAAGGAGAGAGGCCTCACACAGCTGCCCCCAGTGCCTCCTCACACATAGCTCAGGGTCTCTAGACTGCACCCCTCCTATTGCACACTTGCCACCCTTTCTCCCCCTGGAAGGCAACACCCCAGGCAGTCCGAGTCACAGAGCAGGGATGGCAACTCTCCACTCCAACGCAGGGGACCTGAGGTGTGGTCAGGGTAATATTCACACTGCCCTCTGCTCTCCTGACTGAAGATCTGGAGGTGGGGGGAGGGGGACTTTGACAAAGTGAGGAAGCAACTGACTAGGAACTGTGGGTAGTAAGGAGAGAGGACTCCCGGTCTCGGAGCTATTTGGAGAGAGGTTTGCTGAGCGAGGCACACAGGTAGTGAGGAATAAACCAAACTTGCCGTCACCGAGTCGGTGCTGACTCACAGAGACCCTGTAGGACAGGGCAGAGCTGCCGCGGGGGTTCCCAGACGGCAGCTCTCTACAGGAGTTGAAAGTCTAGTCTTTCTCTCTCAGAGCACCAGGTAGTTTCGAACTGCTGACCTGGCAGTTAGCAGGACAATGATTAACAACCACACCCCCAGGGTTCCTGGTATTGATGAGTAAACACAACACACACACGTCCATGCATCCAATTTGTGCCACATGTCTCTATGTGGGGCTAGAAAGAATGCTCCCCCTGTTGTACTCCTGTGACTCTCCTGGAGAGGGAACTCAGTCCCACGCTTGGGACAGGTGTTCCAGGCGTGCGCTAAATAGGTGTGCCGGTCACCCTGGCTCCCCACCGCTCAGTTGAGGATGCCCCAGACGGCCCCCGGGGAGAGGCGCACCTGATGGGGTCTGACGCAGTGGGAGTTGAGGTTTGGGTACCGTGTTCCTGGGTCCACTGTGTACTGCTCAAAGTTCTTGTTGATGTTCTCTGGGGTGGTTTGAGGTAACAGCCGGTACAGACTTTCTCTGGGGGCAGGCAGAGTTGAGAGGTCAGGGCTGGGTCTTGCCACAGCAGGCCTTTCCCCCTCCCGCTCGCCTCTAGCTCTGAGTTCAAGGGCTTCTTGCCTGTGTTTGGATAAACCCGCCCCTGCAGTGCCTGGCGGTCATGGTTTCGGAGATCTGCCAAGGCAGGCGAGGGTCAGAGGGGCCAGGAAGGAGTGTCCTCCTCCCCTGAGAACAGGGACACAGACTTGGCAGCATGGCCACCTGGGGTTTGGCCATGACCACCCCGCAGGCCTGTCGCCTCCTGTGGCTGCCACCGGGATCGCCAGGTCACAGGCCTCCACGCCCAAGACCGGTAGAGGCCTGGCTCCGCCCTGCAGCCTCTGACTTCTCGGAAGTCCACCATGGGACACAGCCACGTGGCTCCCCGCAGGGGTCCAAGCGCAAGCCCCAGGCAGGGGAAGAGGCCTGGGGGAATCCTGTGATGGTCTGCGTGGAGAGACGGGACGCCCTCCCTGGCCGGCTCCCATGAACTGAGCACTGCGGTGGGCTCCAACCCTGGGCTTGTGCCCAAGTGGAAGTTTTGAAAGGCAGCCTGTGAGGTCCTGTCTGTGCCGAGTGGTTAAAACACTTGGTTTCTAACCACAGTGCTGAAGGTTTGAGTGCACCACCTTGTGAGGGGGTGGGGGGAAGCCTGGCGGATCTGCTGTCTGACGCACGCAGCAGGGTGCATAGTTCTATGGTCCCCCCGTGGGGCGACCACCAGCCAAATCGACTCAAGTGCAGCTAATTTTAAAAAAAAGAAAAAGAAAGATTTAGGTCATTTCACCAAGGAGAGCCACTGAAGGAGGTAGCGATGCTTTTGGCAGAGGTTTCCTTTAGGCCCCTGAAGACCAGGTCCGGCCAGGGCAGGCCAGGGATGGAGAGGGACACACAGCAAGAAGGACTCCAGTCTGACCGAGGAAGTCTCCTAGAGCCAGTTTGGGGATTTCTGGCCAGAGCTCTTAGCCCTCCTCTTAGCGCCCTCGCTCACCTTTCAGCCAGCAGCTCCAGGGGAGGGGTGCCCTGGTCCCAGCTCTTCACCATCCACGCCGTGTCAAAGGCTGCCAGGAAGCCTCGGGCGCAGCCCGTGCCCATGGGCCAAAAGGGCTGCAAAGGAAATGCGCCCAATCCCAGTTGGTTATCACCACTCCCAGCTCGCCAACCCATCCTCCCAGTACGCACTGCCAGCCCTGAGCCAGGGCCGGGCCCTGCTGCCCCCAGGGTCTACCGCAAACACAAGCAACTCCAGAGCACTGTCAGGTGTACGGGGCTTAGAAAAGGGGGAGACACATTCCCCCCAGAGAAGAGAGAGGAGGTATTGGGAGGAGAATGCTTCACGAAGAACAGATTTCAAAGAAAGATGGGATCTAGCCAGGTGTCCTGAACCATTCAGGATTCATGTGGGCAGAGGCAGGGCAGCTGGGAAATGTGGACTTTAAGGGAGGGATAGTTCGTCAGTCTGTCTGTTTTAGGTGCTGCACACAGCAGGGAGGGCTGTGCTCAGATGTAAGCTGGGAAGGGAGGGTGGGGTAGAAGCCGGGTGGGTATTAAGTGCTTAGCCTGGGAGCTTGGGTCAGAACCCATGCTCATTGGTGAGCCAGGATTCATTCAATCATGCTAAGCTCTCAGTCTGAGTAATACTAACAGGCATCATTTGTTGGCTGGTAGCAGACAGGTTGGAGGGAGGAGTCCACGCAGAGGCGCCCTGAAAGGAAGCCTGGGAGATCTACTTCCCGAGGCACAGAGCGAGGCTCCACTCCACACACACAGAAGTGGGTGCCCCTGAGTCACCCAGATTCGTGGCATCTGGCCTGGCTAACTGCTAACTAAACTGTTCTACGAAGAGTCCAAGGCCTGGTTTGGAATTTGACTCTGAACTTGGAATAATTGCACAAGCATTTGTTTTAGTTAGCGCTCACACCAAAGATAAAACTATACGCCTTTACAAAAACATTCACTTCAACCTGAGGGCTTTGCACATGCAGCTTTTTCTGGGAAACATTTTGAACAAGGAAGTCACAAATGGAAAGGGGCCTTTGGGGAGGTCACCCCTTTCTTCCGTTCCGTGGAAAGGCCTCCCGGGTCGGAAGGGGGTTTGGGTTCTGCTGGGGGTTCCACACACTCTGGCCCTATAGACTGAGGCCCCCTGGGCTTTATTCTTCGGCTAGGAGAGCCTCCCAGGAGAACCCAGAGATGGAAGAGAAAGCTCTCCTGCCTACACACAGACAGAACTGGCTCCTCTGAGCTTTCGTGTAAGGCCAGGCCAGGCCTGGCAGAGTCCTGCCAACTGGCTGGGCGCCTCTGAGCCCGTCCCTCTCCGCCGCTGTGTGACCTCAGATGCTGCCAGCTCAGACACAAATGCAGGCATCTGCCCGGTAGCAGGAGCACGGGGGTTGCAGGTGCAGAAGTACCTCGAGCAAGCTGTCGCCCACGAGGGCCACGAGCAGCTGGTGGGCGCGGCGCTCACGCACCAGGGCCGCATTCTCGGAGGCGTACATGGAGGTGAAGTCAAACATGGCCACGTCGGGCTGCTCGTAATGGTTCATGGCAAAGTCCAGCGATGGCAGCTGGTAATTGGTGGCAAAGTCTGCAGCTTCTCGGGCGTAGGCGAGCAGGTTGTCCTGGTTCACGTTCTCTGCACACAGCAGCATCTCAGTGTCGATGCAGTCCTGGGGAGGAGGATTATCAAGGACACACTGCAGCAAGGATGAAACACCATGTTCCCTGCCCCCTCCACCCCGGTCCCCTCTGGAGGACAAGGACCCCTTTACAGACCTCAGCGGCCAAAAGAGAGATGTTTGCAATCTTGTTTGGAAATAGGGTCTTTGAAGAGGTTATCAGTTACGTTAACATGAGGTCAGCCTGGACGTAGCAGGGCGGGTTCTAATCCGGTAAGAGTGGTGTCCTTTTTTAAGTAGAAAAGACACGGAGGGAAGATGGTCATCTGATGACATGGGCAGAGACCAGAGTGACGTGTCTACAGGCCAAGGAACAGCAAGGACTGCCGGTCATCCCTAGAGGCCGAGAGCCATGGGAGAGATCCTCCCTCGGAGTGCTTAGAGCAGTGGTTCTCAACCTTCCTAATATGGTGACCCTTTAACACAGTTCCTCATGTTGTGGTGACCCCGGATGGGGGCGTACCTGCATGTGGGCGGACCCACCTGGAGACGGATAGAGGAACAGTGTCTTGGTTCCTGAGACCATCGGAAATATGGTCTTGGGTGACCCCTGTGAAGGGACCACGATGGCGGACACTCTTGCACTCTTAGCCTCCTGAACCGTGAGACGCTGATTTCTTTTCTTTTCTGATAAGCCACCTCATCTGCGGTGCTTTGTTATAGCAGCCCTGGGACATGAATTCAATAGTCAAGCAAAGGGCTTGGCTTCCACGAAGAGCATGTGGGCAGTGAGGCTGATCAACGCAGAAAGAGGACCTCAGGACCCAGCAGTAAACCCAGTTGTGGGGAAGCATCAAGTTTGGCCTCAGCACTGTTGGCATCCAAGGCTAAAGGGAAATGTGTGCTGTGTTACAGGGCTCCTCTTATCAGACAGAAAGCAGCATAGACATTCCTCAGGGGAGGTCATTTTTTCCTGGCACCAAGTTTTAAAAGAACAGTCTCCCAAGGGAACGGCACAGAGAACATTAAGGGTTGCAATGAGGGGTCCATGATAATGGACTTGTGGCAAACACAGAAGCCCATTTTATATGGCAAATTCTCATAATGACTTTCAGTGCAACAAAAAGATAAGAGAACAATGCAATAAGCACAGTTTTGTAAGAAATGGAGCTAAGCTAATGTAGGCCAGGAATGCTGTATTCAGTGGGCCAACAAGATCAGAAAGCTGGGTGTACGGTACATATCCATTTCAAACCTCTTCTTGGCAGGCTCAGGATGGTTAAGGGCTCAGTTTCTCTGGTAGGGTATTCACTGTTATACTTCCCTGCTGGGGAAACAGTGAGCCCTGAGCTCAGAGTACTCTGAGCTCAGAGGGAAGCTAGAAATGAGCCCTGGGTTGTCGGCCCTGAAGCCAGTCGGGTAGCTTACAGGGTAGCCTGCAAGGTCCAGCTCATTGTGGGGCTGAGGCAAAGCAGCCCATCAAAAGGTCAGCTTTCCCAAGGCAACACAGAGGGGCATATCCTGGGAGGGGCTGGGAAGGAGACCGTGTAAGGTGAACACAAGACCCTCTTGGGGTCAGCCAGGGCAAGAGGTCAGATTCTGCCTCTGCTGTTTGCTAGCTGGGTAAATGTGGGCAAGTTAGACAGCTTTTCTGAGTATGTAGTATTGTTTGTTTGTTTCTGATTTCTACCTCAAGGAGTTGTGGGGATGCGATGTCAGGCCCTATATCCGGCATGTGCTGCTGGGTGCTAAGGAGTAGATTCCAACTCAGAGTGGTTCCCTGGGACCAAGTACAACCACCGCCTCACGGGGTTCTTATGGGACTCAATCGCCAGGGCTTGTGGCCACGGAGCCACTGGGTGGGTTCAAACCACCAGCCTTTTGGTTACCAGCTGAGAACGCAGCACTTAATTGGTGTGTGTGACCAACTAAGGGCTCCTCTATGCCTGGCACACAGGAGATGCTCAGCGAATGGAAATTCCTGTCTCCTGTAAGTTCGATGGCACAGAACAGGGTGAAGAATGTCTCCCGCCCACCCAAGGTGCCAGCTGGAGCATTCATAAAAGTCTTAGAAGGCACGGCTTCATCTTTAGCCAGATGAACTCTCTGCTTCAATTTTCCAAATGACCATGATATCTAGTACATCATTCCAGAACTTCGGCTATTTCTACACTCAAACCATAGTCCCCAAATGACACCCATCCTTGGCCTAAGACTCCTTTGTCGGGCCACTGCATCCAGGTTGGAGTTTCTGGTATTTGATTTCCTTTCTCATTCCAAGACTCACACGATCACTTTCCCCAGTTGCCGCTGTGAAGATGAGGTGGGACAAGAATGAAAAGAGAGCAAATGATCCCTGCCGCTCTGGGCCCTGGCAGAAGGTCGGAGACGAGAGTGCCGAGGGCCTTTGGTAACTGCCAAGAGTGTAGAAATGCGTTAACATAGCAGGTCTAAACAGCTATACTTAGCAAGAACTGCTCCCAAGAACGGCCCTTGGCTGGTGTCTGGGAACTGGCTGTCAAGTGAGTTCCCACCAGTAACTGATTAGGGCGGCTCATTGTGGTCAAATGTTTAGTCCTGTGTGCTGAACATCCCTCCCTGGACTTTGGGTGAGTGCTAGGTCGGGGGTGCTCACATGATTGTTGTTAGGTGCTTGGAGTCGGTTTCACAGCGCAGTGACTGCATGCCCAACAGAACAGAACACGGTCCTGTGCCATCCTCACCACTGTTGCTACGCCTGAAGCCATTATTGAAGCCCTGTGTCAATCCAGCTCACTGACCCTCTCCCTCTTTTTCCCTGACGTGAGCCTCCTGCGAGAAGCCCGGGTCCTGGGTCACCACAGAGCGTGCCCCGGATGGACCACATCTCCTGTGTGCGGTCACAACCCTTGCTGGGGCATGAAGCGGGCCTACGTGGTTCTGCTGGGAGGGCAGCCTTGGAAGCAGGCGTCTGGCTTCCCAGACTTCATGCCCTGCACCTTCTCTCTGCTGCCTGAGCTTGGCATCCTTGCCCTAGAGTAAGTGGTGAGCAGTGCTGGGCCTTGTGGGTCCTATTCGTGAATCCCAGAGCCTGTGGGTGGCCTTGGGGACTTCTTGATAAGCCGCACAATCAAGCTGACAACGCTGGATGCCCCAAAGTGTGCCTCTGTGTTCTCAGAGGCCCACGGACTCAGCAAATGAAGCAAGAAAGGAGCACCAGACTGGGATGGGCAGCCCAAAGCCTCTCCGGAGCCGTCCTATGCAAGAGACCCCACTGCCCTGGACCTGCATCCTGGGGCCACGAAGTGGGGCTTCACCCTCTGACTCCGGCATCCCTGGACTGGGGAGCAACTGGAGGGGAGGCGCCGGTGGAGCCGGGGAATGAAGAGCACACGCCTCCTCACACTGCCGGGTCAGCAGGGGCACCAGATGTGGAAGTCCACTGCCCACACATCTGCCGGCTGTGTCCGGCCTCTGCTCATCCACCCCGGGCGCCTCAGGCTCTCCTGAGATTTGGGCCGAGGTGGAGGCGGAGGCGGCCCAGGGGAGGGCCGGGTTACTAATGCCGCCCAGACGGCTGCCAGTACCAGCTGGCGGGAGGAGACACATTCTTCTCCAACAAGCAGCAGTCAGTGGTCACTACGTTGCCCGGGTCACAGGCCGCCACCCGGAGAGGAGCTGACCACAGACGGCACCATCCTCATCTGGAGGCCGCTGTCTTCGTGGCAGAAACAGGGACTTCGTAAGGGCTGAAAAACTGCCTAAAGGAGCACCCTTGCCCTGGGTCCCCGAGCAGCTCTGTGCACTTCTGAAGCCTGCCGGCCCTGCTCTCAATGAAGCTTCCGGATGCAAAAGCCAGGGCCCAGGAAGCCACAGAACCAGCAAGCAGGCGGCCAAACAAGGCAGAGAAACTTCGAGGTGAAGCTGAGAATGCCTATGCGCAGGCACTCGGCTAGATGCTCTGTGCACCTCTTTAAAAAAGCCGTTTACTCTTCCCAACTGCCCTTCCTAACAGAAACAACTCCTTGCATTTGCAGACAAGAAGTGTGAGCCTCAGGCAGGTGCCGAGGCTTATCCGTGGTCCCACGCTTGTCTCTCTGCCGCTAGAACAGCGAGCAGAGCCCACGTCACGACAAGGGGCCACGGGGTGGAATTCGCAAGAGAAAGTCTCTCTGTGTCCCTCTAGGTCAAGGAGAGCTGGTCTCCAGGGGACAGGGGACTTTCAGAAGAGCTGGCAGGGCTGACTGAGACCCGCAGGGAAGCGAAACAGGCAGCCAGTCTCTTGGGGGTGAAGCGTAGGAACCACACTGCCACCTGAGGGAGGGTCTCACATCCCCACAGCTCCCAGCCCGGACCGCTCTTGGCGTGTGAGGGCAGTTCCTTTCTCTGAGCACTGCAATAGAGCAGAGTCCCTGGGGAGCAGCGGACGGCGAATACAGCCGGCTGCTTATCGGAAGTCTCGAGGGCCGAGTCCACTGGGAGGCGCCTTGGAAGCAAGGCCGGGTGACCCCGCACCCTGTTCTACCTAACACACTCGGCATCACGGGAGTCAGAAACCACCCTGCGCTGGTATTGTGTTGCTGCAGAAGAGGAAGGCGTAAAGGCAGGGTGGCGCCGCTGTCCCTCCCTCCCCTCCCCTTGCTCAGTCGGGCAGGACTCCGATTGCTGCCACACTCGCTGCTGCTGCTGCCAGCCCAGGGCACCCAGGGGAAGCTGCCAGGGAAGTGCCAGCTGAGGAGATACATACGTTAATGATGACCCCTTTGTCAAGCAGGCTCTGCTTCTTGGCTGTCATGACAAAGTAGTGGGTGCTGTCCTTGTAGTAGACGATGTTCTCAAGATCAATCCCTGCAGAGAGAGGAGGAAGCAGGCTCGCGGTGACGGCTGCAGGACAGGTCCCACTGTCCATCACAGCGTACTCACACTAGACACAAAGGCACACAGGATTCGGAAAGACAGGGCAGATGGCTCTCACGGCTCCTGCGAAGACAGCGTCTCTTTCAAAGGGCACAGAGTCCTCAAGGACCACGGACTGCCATTTCCAAGTTAGAGAACCCCAAGCCAGACCCCCTGCCATCAGATCAATTCCGGCTCGTGGTGACCCTGCAGGACAGGACAGAACTGCCCCTGTGGGTTTCCGAGGCTGGAAATCTTTACAGGAGCAGGAAGCCTCCTCTTTGGGTTAGAACTACTGACCTCGTGGTTAGCAGCCCAATGCATACGTATCCCACGACATCACCTGGGCTCCTTATTTCCAAGTGAAAGTGCTATGGAAGGAGGCGTGCCACCTGCAGTCATGGCAGCCAGGAAACAACAGAGCCCAGCCTGGAACCCCAGTCTGCCACACTTCATGCCCAGCCCGCAGCGCCCTCCAAGCTGCCACAGCTGACCAGCTCTGTGAATGCTCCCAAATCTAGGCTAAGCTCCTCGCCTTCCTCATGCGTGCTTGTGTGTGTGTGTGTGTGTGTGTGTGTGTGTGTGTGTGTGTGTGTGCGTGTTTAGCAGGCATTAGAGGGCTGGGCTGTATCTTTTTGCCGTGGGCACCATCACAGAGTGAGAGGCTCTCGCACCGTGGGAGCGGGAGGGCATTTAGCTGTGTGTGTGGCAAGCAGCAGAGAACTTATTAGACCTGTAAGTAGTCAGAACTACCAGGACTTAGGCCCGTAACCTTCGTTTTAACAAGACCTCAGGTGATTCTGAGCCCCATTGCAGTTTGAAAACCACTATCTTGAAGACAACTCTGGGGGTGCATGGGTTAAGCGTTTCCCTGCTAACCATGAGGGTCAGGGGTTCAAATCCACCAGTCACATCAAAGGAGCAGGACATGGAAGTAGACGTCCATAAAGATGTGCTCCCTGGAAATCCGCTAGGCCAACCCTGTTGTTAGGGTCGCCATGAGGCAGAATCGACCCGATGGCAGTGGGTTTGGGGGTTGGCTTTCCCGATGGCAGTGGGTTTGGGGGTTGGCTTTGGCTTTGCTTATTTGAAGGAAACAGAAGAGGGAGGGAAAGAAACAACTATGGGTGGCCGACACAGAGGCTGGCCGGGTGACCACAGGAAGCCCTTAACAGGAAACAGGCATCATTGCACAGGGAGGGCCCCCAAGGCATTCACCCCGTCCCTGTGTGCACAGCCTGGTGGAGCACCCGAGGCCCCGGTGACAGCTGCAGCCGAGTTTGAGGGAGCTCATTCCGACAACGGGAAAACCACACGCTGTGTTCTGTCGTCATGCATTTACTTGCTGATTTATCTCAATATTTATGCTTCTGGGTTTTCTATTTGTTTTTGACAAGGAGGGTGGGTCGGAGAATTCTTAAGTCATTCCAAAGGAAAAATTAAAACTGTTTATAAGATAACGCAACTGGGTCAAACTCCAGGGCTCAGGCCATGGGCACAGCCCTTAGGAGAGGCAGGTGATTCTGCCCAGCAGGCGCCCGGTGTCTGGCACCGCCTTCAGTCCAGTGTCGGGGAAAGATCTCAAAGAAACAACTCAGCAGAGAGTTTTATCTTTAACAGTAAATAACTGCCAGGCCAAACCAGCCATCGCAAACGTCCTCTGTCAAGCGCCCGCCAGAGAGTAAGCGCTTCTGCCTTTGTGAGTCATGTGTGTCTGTTGAAAGCTCTGCTCCCCGAGGCAGAAGCAGTCACAGACTTTAGGCAAACAAACAGGAGGGGCTGCGTCCCAATCCAACACTGCCTACAGACCCTGAGATCTGAATTCCATAGGCTTCTCATGACACATAGTGTTCTTTCGAATTCTCTTTGGCCATTCTTAGCTTGCAGGCGTTAAAGAAAACCTGAGGCTGGCCTTTTGTTTGCAGACCCCACGTGCACAGGCTGGGGGCCCTGGTGCCATAATGGGTTATGCTTTGGGCAGCTAACCTCAAGATGCACAGTTCAAAACCACTAGCTGTTTCTGGAGAGAGAGATGAGGCTTTCTATCCCTTTCAAGAGTTACAGGATCGGAAACCCACAGGGGCAGCTGGCAGTGAGTGTACATGCTTGGACGGTGGCAGGACATCCAGTTACGGAGACTGCAGCGCCTCCCAAACCGACCCCTGGGAGGACCACGCAGCAGCGAGCACAGTGTTTTCACTGCGACCAAGGAAGCAAGTGGGATAGTGCACAGATCTGCATTATGACTGGAGCCACTCGGAACAGCACAGGTGGAGGTGGGGGAGGAGACTATGACAACGGAGCCTCTTCCTGCACCAGGTGGTCAGACAGCAGGTGCGTCCTCTGGAGTGTAATGAGTTTTATGTTGTTGCTGCACTGCCCTTTTGAGAACTACAGAAGGAGCTGCAGCAAGTGTGAAAACATGGAATTCACACATGAATCGATTCTCCCCAGGGGCTCTCTGAAGCCCCATATATATATATAAAATCATTTTATTGGCGGCTCTTAAAGTTCTTATCATAATCCATCCATCCATCCATGTGTCAAGCACATTTGTACATATGTTGCCATCATCATTTTCAAAGCATTTTCTTTCTACTCGAGCCCTTGGTATCAGCTCCTCATTTTGCCCCCCTCCCTCCTCCACCTTCCTTCCCTCATTTTAAGTCAGGTTTAAAAGAAGAAACAATCTCTGGGAGCCATGAGCTCCTACCTCTCATTCCCCCTCACCAGCCTGGACCGGACGTAGTGACTGAAGTGTCACTGTTTCTGCATGGACTGTTTGTTTTGTTGGGGTTCTGTTTGTTGCTTTATTCTAGGTCTTCACACAGCATGGGGCACATAGTACCCCAACTCACTGCCATTAAGTCGACTCCAACTCACAGCGACCCTGTAGGGCAGAGTAGCACTGCCCCTGTGGGTTTCCGTGGCTCTAAGTCTCTACAGGAGCAGAAAACCTTATGGGTGGCCTAGGTTTGAACTGACCTTGTGGTTAGCAGCCTGGTGTATAACCCACTCTGCCACCAGAGCAAAGTTGGCATCTGATAAAGAGTTGTGGAGGAAACGGGTGACTACCTTATTTCCTTTGGCCCCTAGCAGGGCAGGGGACAACCAACTCCAGTGAGCGCCACACTACCTGGGCATTACCCACCCCCCACCCCCCCAGGGAGGGGCAGCTGGCACAATGAACCAAAGTATCTGGGCTTCTGGAAGCACCGCTTCTTGGCCCCTCTGCAGTTAAGAGGTTTGTGTGGTTATTTCCCTTCCCAGCCTCCATTTCGGGAGGGCATGGGTCAACCTTGGCTTTATTAGCTACCTGCTGGCACATAACGGGCACCAGTCGATGGCTGCTAAGTAAATGACTGGCTATCTGTTCCCAGGACCCAGATCCACAGGGCTTTCCCCAAGAAGCTCTCTCATCCCTGCAGAGACTCTGCCTGGTTATTATTCTAAGGAGAATCCTGTGCTTCCACTTGACAAGTGTGAATCTGCCCAGTGCCAGACCCCCGGGAGCCAGCACACCCCTCTGTCCACTGTAGGAGCGGCAGCCAATGGCCTGGTTTGGCAGATGGGGGCGCTCCCACCTGTTTCTTCTTTGAGGTCCTGGAAGAATTTCTGGTTGAAGATGAAAGCCACGCCGCTAATCTCTTCCACCTTGGCCTCAGCCGTGCTGTTTCTGTTGATGAAGTTGGCAGTGATTGCAATAGCCAGCTTCCCACGGAATTCTTTCCTTCTGAACCCTGTGGGAGGAGAGAAGGAAACATGGGTCTTTCTTCAGGATTTGGTCTGAGAACCCGGAAAAGATGGCTCCACATGATATTCTCAGATGCCCCATGGGCCCGAGAAACCACAATTTGGGGTCTCCGGAGAGCCAGGCAAGCAGAGATGCCAAAGTAGGGGCCCAAGGAAGACATGTGGCTTGGCTGTCCTTTCAAAAATCAGTGGGTCTTTGCTCTCTTCGAAGACCAGAAGCATCAATGAGTTGCTTAGATTTCAGCAAACAAAGCGCTCTCGCTATATCATCTCAGAGGCCAGAGCTCCGCCTTAGCTCTGTTGGGCATTCCTGTTAAGTACCAGGGGGCTTCAAACGGGCCTGGGAAATCCCACTCTCTCCATTCTGGTTTCCATGAACTCTGAAGCCATTCCATATATTCATGAAGGACCCACATGCACTTTGAACTGACAGGATTACATTGACTCTGTTGTCAATTTAAAATGTTGCATTTTCACAGTTTTTCGGTCTGTGTGTCTTCTCTGGAAAGTCAGATTACTAGGCTGACTTGCTGACAGGACAGGGCTTTTAACAAATGCCCTTTGTTTCTCCAATTGCCAGTGACTTGCACTTAGGTAAATGCATAATGACTCGATAAAGGGAATCCTGACTTGCAATTAACTACGCACTTTCCGGCAGACAGGGCTCGTGATGGTAGAGGTGAGTATCCAGGCCTGTCACACGGGAGGCCAGGGTTGGATTCCCCAAAGGGGAGGCAGACTGCATTTCAGGAGAAAGATGAGGCTTTCTACTCCTGTAGAGAGTTACAGTCTCCGAAACTCACAGGGGCAGTGGTGCCTTGTTCTATAGGGTTGCCATGAGCCGACATCAACTCGATGGCAGTGAGCTTGTTTGTTTTCTATAGTTGAAGGATTTGCCTAGCTTCCAATGGCTTCCTGTAAACCCGCCTTTTCAATGGCAGTCACATGGAGGACCACAGAGCAAGTGATCATCTTTCATAGCAGCCCCTCTCCTCCCAATCCCTGCTTCAGGATAGCCTGATGATTCCTGCATCCCTGCATCGTCTCGCTGCTCTGATACTGCTGTTGACTCTGCTGAATGCTAGGCCTTTGTCATGTGAGCCCACACATACGGGTTCTCTTCAGCTACATTTGGAGGTCAAGCCTTATGGTGACCCCCAGGCTGAAAACCCTGGGGTTCCATCCAAGAGGAGTTCCCTTTGTCCTTCCTTGTCAGACACACTTCAACAGGGTCAGAAAGGGCCCTGGCTGTCTCACCCAGTGCTTCCCAACTTGGCGTTGTCTTGTCCCCCAGGGGACATGTGGCAATGCGTGGAGATAGTTTGGGTTGTCCCAGTTGGGAAATGAGGCGCCACTGGTATCTAGTGCGTAGAAGCCAGAGATGACACCAACCATCATATAATGTATAGGATGTATAGGACAGCTGCCCAAGACCAAGCATTATCTGGCCCCCAATGTCAACAGTGCCAAGGTTGAAAAGCTCTGGTGTAACTGGGTCATTGGGTCCCAAGGTGCTCAAATGAGTCTCCCCTGTCTCCTGCTCCTTTTCATGTTCCAGAATGCAGAAACGTACGCAGGTGGAGTATTCGGTCCTGGAAATCAAGTATCCAGACGAACAGTCCCACCCAACTCCCCAAATGTGTCATGGGCTCTCAAAGAACAACAGCCAGGTTGATAACGTAAAACGCCTTGGCTAGACACGGGTTCCTGATTGGGGCGTGATTTGGGAGTGAAGAGAGAGATAAGGACGTGGGAAAACAGCACTGGCTGCTGGCCAGTGAGAGGCCCACGCATCCAGGCCTTTCTGAGGTCGGTCCTATTCCAGGGGATGTGGCGTGGCCTCGGAAGAGACGCTTGAACAAGGCGAGCTCAAAATGCGGGACTGCCCCTTGTCTAAGGGATGTACCAGGGGCCACAGTCACTGGCCTCTAATGAGGACAGGCACAGCCCGTGGTCCAGTGCCCGTCAGGGCTGTGCTGCTGCGGCACAGGTGATGAAACACCTCGCCCGCCCGCCAGAGGGATTTCTGCCGCAGCCTGACTGGATCCTACCCTAAGAAGGCAAAGTCACCTTCCAGCTTTGGAAGCCTGAGCATGAGGTGTTTTGGGTAAAACGTCCTGCCCAGCAGTCCATGTGCCCCAAGGTTTTGAAAAGAGGAGACCATCTTGGACTTGAAAGTAAACTGATGGTACTGACGCTATTTTCATAATGTCATCTTAGACCAAGTGAGCATGGATGTGCATAGCACCTGTGCATAAGCAGATGCTCAGTGAATGCATGGCCGCCGACTTCTCTCTTATAAAGGGTTTCTGTCTACCAGTCCTTTCCCAGCCTCGCAGCGGTGCTCGGAGCGGGTTCAACGTATTCCCTGCAGTTCCACACGTGCGACCACCGAGGTTCACAGGAGCGGAATGACCATCCTGGACACTCCTGCGTCTGTCTCATGGGAGCTCACTCCACCTCAGCACAAATGGGCGCCCACCCCCTTCTACCCAGGAGCCCCCACCCTAGCTTGGGTACCTATCTTGCTCACCCTTCCCTACTTTCTTGCTTGCCACTCGCCACTCCCACCCCCACCGTGACCCCAAGAAGAAGAGCTTCACCTTCCAGAGTGTTCCTGCGGCCGTCAGCACCAATGATGACATCAAATTCAAACTCCGACAGAGAGTGATCCCCAGGGAGAAACTCTGCCCGCCAGCCAATTTCTACCAGGACAGAAGAAGGAGGTGAGTTCACAGTAAGTGGGGGGAGCGAAGGTGATTCTACATCCTTTGTGTTGGCCACTGACAAGTGGGCAACACGGCCAGGGCTATGTGCCTGGGGGTGGACAGAGCCACCAGAGGAAAGGCTCCGAGGGGTTCAGACTGGCACCTGAACCAATTCAAGGTAACCAGCAGCTTCAACTCCATGCTTGATTTCACTGCTTTCAGTGACAGCTTGGGCTCGACCTGCATGATTCTCAAGGTAGTTTCACTGCCCGGCCCCCACCCCCAACTCAATGGTTTCTACCACCTTCTCTTTGCCCATCGACTCCTCCCACAGTCCCCGTTACACGGACCTGAAGGATGCGCAGGTGTAATGAGACCAGTCTGAGATTCTACTTTACTAGCCTCAAAGCACTTTGTTGTTCAGTACTCTGCCCTTTATGAAAACACCTTCAGGTAACCTTGCTGGTGACTTGCACTGGTGCTGACCACCTGCTGGAGGGCTAGGGAAAGACCCCCAGGAGTGGAGCAGTTAAGCACGCAGCTGCTGCCCCAAGGAAAGATGAGGTTGTCTGCTCCGGTAAAGACCTGCGACCTTAGAAGTTGATGCGGCATGTGCACTCTGTCCTGGGAGGTCCCTCGGAGTTGGAACCAGGTTTGGTCTGGGTTTGGTAGGATCTAGGTAAGGTAAGGTGACCAGATGTCCCGCTTTTGAACAATTTGTCCTGTGTCCTGCGGCATTTTAAAAAAGTCCCGATTTTTTGAAAGAATGCTCGACAAGCTAGGGAACGGCGGGAGAACGGGAAGATCGAATTTTTATTCAAGAACAACCCCCGCCCTGGGGTCAATGGTGTCCCGCTTTACCAATGTCAAAATCTGGTCACCTTAAGGTAAGGGTAAGAACATACAGGCCTCCAAGTGCTAAGTAGCAAATGTTGCTGTGCTACAAAAGCCAACCCAGGCCTCCCTCGATCCTCAAAGGCTCAGGCAGAGGGGCCAGGAGGAAGCAGCTTGTGGAGGATGCGATGCGGTCACCACGAAGCAGAGCCTCCTGGTACAGGCTCTGGACGAGTTTGACACCATGAACCAATCCTCTGGCTGTGGTGTGTAGCCAAAGATTAGAATTTAAATAAGCACGCCAAAGGGCAAGGGAGAAAAGCTGCTAAGTAAGAAGACACACCTACAGTAGTGAGTGTTCTGGCTTATAAGTAACACCTCACTAGGGTTTAACAATATAATGTACCGAATTCTATCTTGAACACTTTCGGTTTTCTCTAAAAGCCTTACTCTCTTACTGAGTGGTCAGCTATCACATAAATACACATGCGTGCATCTACACAGCCTGTGATCTGTGTCCACAGACACACAGCATGAGAAACACGTGACTGTGATTGATCCAACAACCATCTCCGAGGGTTCTATTTTATTGGCAAGACTTTGCTGGCCAAAGTACCGCCTCCTAATGACGAGGTAAACAAATTTCAGGCTCACTGGCTTCCTCACCAAGCCCTTGGGAGTTGAATAGTAAACTGCACTGATAAAAAGCCAAAGGTTAGTGCCGTTGGGTCAGTGCTGACTGCAAGTAGAACTGCCCCATTTCCACAGCGGTAAATCCCGACAGAAGCAGACTGCCACCACTCGCTCTCAGGGAGCCACTAGTGGGTTTGGAGGGTAGATCTGTTGATGGGCACCCATGCATTTCCATGCCTGCACCACCAGGCCTCCTGGCCTACAGAAATCCCAACAGGTGAAGGGTCCCAAGAGCTCCCCATAAGAGCGATTCCTAGAGAAACATTTTGCAACATCTGATTTTTCCCCCTTTTTTAGACAGAAGAGAAAGATGAACTATACTTTGGTTTTCTTGATCTTCAGGAGGCTCTAGAACCTTCACAAACTCCACATTCACGTGAATTTCAACTCCCAGCATCAGGGCCACCTTGAAGAGAATGAGCTGCAGCTGACGAATACCTGCCAGGAAGGAAGGGGAAGAGGGGTGGACTGTCAGCGGTGCCTCCTGGACGCAGATCACCCCACCTCAGGAACCCTGGCCAGAGCGACAGACCAACAGGGATCACCACGGAGCACTCAGTACCCGCTAAGTGCTCAGCCAAGCACTGCCCGCGCGTGTTCTCTCATCGAACCCTTAGAGAAGCCCTCGGAGAGAATGACTACGATTGTTCTACGGGTGAGACATTGAGGTTCAACGAGGCCAAATGATTTGCTCAAGGGCAAGAGTGATCAGTCCTACAGCGCAGAGCCAGGTCGGTTGGATCCCAACACGGAGCTCCTGTCAGTAGATAATGCTGTCGTTCGATGATGGCTCTCCTTCCTGTCGACAAGATCAGGATGGAAGAGGAAACAGGAGAATAAAGACTCCTACATAAAGTCAGTGGCCACTGGTTCATGAAGGAGGGCTGAGCCTCAGCTCTTCGCCATGCTGTGGGAAGCAGATGGGTTACCCCACTGAGCCGGGCGCATGGCTCTCCACCTTCTCCAGAACATCCCTGTTTTGTCCTGGCCGTTGAGCACACGCGGGTAGACCTCCCAAGTGTTTTTCTGCACAATGCGAGGCTGTCGGAGAGCTGTGGGCCCCTCGGGATTTTGTGTGTGAGCTCATGTCACCTTTAGGAAGCACCTATGATGTGCCAGGTGCCCGGCGATGTGGCACACACCTTCCGGTGGAGGAAGCACAGCTAGAGAGTATGGAGTAGGGCATGGAGGCTGGGCGACAGGCGAGTGGTAGAGCAGGGCCTGAGTGGGAGCCCAGCAAGCCGAGTGAGGAGTGACCATGGGTACAAAATCCCATGGAGAGAGTAAGGGACGCCAAGACCCCATTAAGACAGGTGGTTTGGGAGCTCAGGAGCCACCAGAGACTTTCATGAAAATCACTTCTGCGTGGCAGTGGGGAGCAACGGCAAGGTTAGCAGGCTTCCTGGGCGGGGTAGACAATGTCCAGAGCCCCTCTTTGTAGACAAACAGCCTTGGAGCAAAAGCAGCTGGCAGTCACAGAGAGTTGGAAGACAGCGTGAGTGACAAGGAGGAAGACTGAACCCTGTGGGGCATGCGTGGTAGATTTTATGTTAACCTTTACTCTGATGAAAAGGGTAGGGCCAGAGTCCAACCCATCAGTCAAGTTGCAGCCCGATGATGTCCCTGTGGGACTGCCATCGTTTTATAAGAGAGATATTGGGAACCTCGATAGCCTGCTGGCCCTTCACCTTCCTCCTCGCTTGCCTTCTGTGTCTGCCTCTGGAGGTGGCCCATGTGGGCCGTCAACCCTGGGAGTGATCAGCGCCCTGCTAGGTGGCCACTGGCCTTAAATCCATGTGATGCTGTACCCACCAGCTTGTGATCTCCCTGCTTTCCGCTTCATCATTCCAAGTCACTGGCCTGCAGCCCCGAGTCTGCAGAAGCCTCCAGTTGGCTACAGACTCATGGGCTTGAGTTGGCCTGGGCTGGGACACCTTCGTGGTCCCAAGTTACTTCTAGCGATATCAAGCTCCTTCCTACACAGGCAGGAGTGTCCCTGGTCTGTCTCTGGAGACATGCCAGCCTCACCCTGAGCGGATGGAAAGGAGGGGGTGGAATCAAGCAGAACTAGACTTGGAGAGGGCAGGGCAGCTCACCCTCAGGGGTGAGAGGGAAGAAAGGACACTGGGGTGGAGGTGACGGAGGAAGGGAGAAGAGGGATAGCACAAGGAGCTGCCACGGCTTCTTTTCTTCAGAGCAGAAGGGGATGGAGTGGAGGCCAGGAACAGCCACCCTGGGGTCTGCATGAGGATGCCGACATGGGCTGTAGGGAGCTGCCGGGCAACACCCAGGACAAGAGCACACAGGGGCTGGAGACCACGTGTGAGGGCGGCCGGTCAGCTGGGGTGGGTTTAAAGCAGGCGGCCCAGCCCCTGCCTCAGACACAATCCTTCCGGGGAGCCTGAGAGTCTCCTCAGAGATTCAGAGTCGCAAGTCTGTCTGGTCCCGCACACATTAGGAGCCCGGTGCACTCTCTCTGCTCCCGTTCCCATGGGCTCAGAGCAACCCTCCACAGGTGGTCATCCGGAAGGCTCCCACACTAACACCGACGTCCTGTCGGGCTTCTGCAGTTCTAAGGACAGGGAATTGAATCCAGGGGAACCCCATCGATGGGGACAGAGTCCGGGCTGGGACCCAGGACCTCACAGGCCTCCTACTCGCTATTCCGCCTCCCCTGGAGGACTCTCTGCAGGGTCATCATTCTACATGGGTGACTGACATACATTCTTCCATGGGTGGCGGACACATCCTGAGCGCTGACACCACAGCTTTCTGGGGAAATCCAAATTTCTTTCCATTGAGTGCCTGGCATTTTCTCATCCCAGAATGGGAGTCAACTCAGGCCGCTGCTGGTAAAAGTCCATGGATCAGACTAAATTATACCCTATGCGGAGGAATAACTCTTTCCAGCCATCCCCGCCCAAACCCCACACCCTATTTTCATGGAGTCTTGTCCTCATACGAGCAAGACTCTCCGAGCTCTCCCCTCACACCCCGATTCCTAAGCTAGACAACCCACAGCTGCTGCTTGCTCTTTTGGGAGATGGGGTGGGGAGACGGGAACGCCAGGCGGTGGGCAGCACTTACTAAGTAAGCACTTACAATGAGCTAGACCTCGCAGGAGGCCTTAACTCTAATTTTCAGGAGGTAAAACTGAGGCCTGGGAAGGGCAGACTGGGACGCAAGACACAGTGAGAGAAGCGGCAGAATTTGAACCTAAATCTGCTCCAACCCTGGAGCTTCCTCCACGGTGTGAACCTCCGTGACTTCAGACCTCCTCTCAGCTGAGTGCCACCTCTCCCAGAGCCTGTGGGCTCAGATCTCGAACCCAGCAGAGACCCGGAGTGCTCACCAGGGAGGCCCATGCTCTTCCTCGCCCCAGCTCCTTTTCTAGCTGAAGACCCTTCATGATGCCCGCCCCCTCTCTCTCTTTTAAAAAAATCATTTTATTAGGGGCTCATACAACTCTTATCACAATCCATACACACATCAATTGTGTAAAGCGCATGTGTACATTCATTGCCCTCATCATTCTCAAAACATTTCCTCTCCACCCAAGCCCCCGGCATCAGGTCCTCATTTTTCCCCTCCTTCCCCACTCATCCCTCCCTCATGAGCCCTTGATAATTTATAAATTATTATTTTTCATATTTTGCCCTGTCTGACTTCCCGCTTCACCCACTTTTTGGCTGTCCATCCCCCAGGGAGGAGGTCACATATAGTTCCTTGTAATTGGTTCCCTCTACCAACCCACTCTCCCTCTACCGTCCCAGCATCACCACTCACACCCTGGTCCTGTAGGGATCATTCGCCCTGGATTCCCTGTATTTCCAGCTCCCATCTGTACCAGTGTACATCCTCTGGTCCAGCCAGACTTGCAAGGTAGAATTTGTGTCATGATAGTGGGAGCGGGGAGGAAACATTTAGGAACTAGAGGAAAACTGCATTTTTCATCGTTGCTACATCGCACCCTGACTGGTTTGTCTCCTCCCCGAGACCCCCCTGCAAGGGGATCTCCAGTGGCCTACTAATGGGCTTTGAGTCTCCACTCCGCACTCCCCCCATCATTCACTATGGTAAAATTTTTTGTTCTGATGATGCCTCATGCCTGATCCCTTCGACACCTCGTGGTTGCATAGGCTGGTGTGTTTCTTCCATGTGGGCT